GCCACGACTCGAGATTCTTGAGGAACTCATCGACAAGATCGACAAATTAGCCAAGACCCAGCCAACAGAGGGAACCAACGAGAGAAAAGTCGGATACCTCTGTACAGCGGTCCAGCGAGTCCCCGAGGCGAGGATGACTTTACACGCGCCGCCAGCGGACTACGAGACCCTTTGCTCACGCCTGAGGGCGAGCTTCAGCATCGAGGCCAGAATGCCTAAGCAACAGCAATTTCAAGCTGTCGACGGTCCATACCAACAGCACTGGGTCGACCGTACGTAAAACGGCAAGGGAAAGGAGGCCAGGTACGGCAACCGATACAACGGTCAGGAAAGACGAGCAGGATCAGCCGCCAACGCAGGATTCAAACCACGAGGTCCTCAGCCTCGCGGAAAGTGCTGGATCTGCAAGAAAGACGGCTGCTGGTCAACCAGCCATACCCAGGAGGAAAGGGACAGATCGTACGAAAAGTTCAAGCAGCTAAAGGGTACCGAGGGCAAGAACAACCCAAGGCAGTATCACCAATTCCTCGTCAATTATGAGGGTATAGACCCTTCCACAACGAACGAACCCATCTACAATTCAGACAACGAGGAGGACATCACCACTTACCTCGCCAGAATCGACGATAGCGTCGACGACGACCTCGACGACGGCATCGACGATGTCGACGAAGTCCAACACGTCTTCTTCACCCCGTCAGCGTCAGGGGGATATTCGCAGCTAAATCAGAGACAAGCAGTAAATACACTCAACGAGCAGGCCTTCTTTCACGGTTGGAAGGGCAAATTCCCACAAGATACGACATTGATGACCACATCGGCCACAAGTACAGTATCGACGACGATACCCAACCTGTCCCTAACTGCCCAACCATGGGCTAGAGAAGGCCGCACAGGAGAAATTGTTAGTAGAAAGACGAGCTCAGGGGCGTCGCTGGTTCCCTTTTTATATCCGCCAGAGGAATCAGCCGAGGGGACAGCGCAGGTGTACCACACCCAGGAACGCTACGGCCCAGACGTCTTCCAAGGAATTATCCCTGATACCGGGGCATCACAATGGTCAACTGGAGGGCAGGGCCAGCTGGAAGCTCTACAGAAAATCTACCCAGCAACGCTCGACAGATCGAAGGCGGGCATCGCCGTCATCAGCTTCGGCCCAGGGGCAGAGCTAGTAGGCATTGGTACTGTATGTATCACAACAGTCTTCGGAACCATGGTCTTCCACATCCTTCCAGTCAATACCCCTTTTCTACTATGTCTCAGGGATATGGACCGGTTAGGTATTACATTCGAGAACCTCCGAAATCGGATCTCCAACGGCACACACTTCGAGCAAGTGGAAAGGCGATGGGGCCATGCATTCATGAAGCTCAAGACCACCAGCAAGTCAGTCCAGTATTTGACCGAGGTTGAGCTCAGAAGATTACATAAGCGTTTTGGCCACCCATCTGTACCGAGATTACACAACTTACTCAAGCAGTCTGGTAACGATGTGAATGCCGAGGCCTTGGAGCATATCACGAGAATCTGCCACCAATGCCAGATGAATGCCCAAGGGCCACGCAGATTCCGCTTTAAGTTACGCGACGAGCTTCACTTTAACTGGGAGATCGTTATCGACATCTTCTACCTCAACGGCAGACCAGTCCTTCACATTATCGATACGGCCACATCATTCCAAGGTGGCCAGTTCCTCGACGACCTACAGGCCAAGACAGTGTGGGCAGCGGTAAAAAGGACGTGGATCGACACGTACCTAGGACCACCTGACGGCATCAGAACTGACGCCGGAACCAGCTTTAAATCGACGGAGTTCAGGGATAATGCGAAGTCGTATGGCATCCAACTGAAAGTCGTACCTGTCGAAGCACACCACAGCATTGGCAAGGTGGAACGAGCCCACCGGCAGCTGAAAAGGGCGTTCAGGATAATCAAGGACGAAAATCCAGATAACGCAGACGAGGACTGCCTCCAATCAGCGATTAAATGCTGCAACGATACCATGGGACCCGATGGTCTGGTTCCTACACTTCTCGTCTTCGGAGCATACCCAAGAACGACCACAGCCTCGCCACCGTCGCCAGACGTAGTCCAACGCGCAAAGAACATCGAAAAGGCGATGAAAGCCTTGCGCGAGGTCAACGCGAAGAGGCAGGTCAATGAGGCACTGGCAACGCGCAATGGGCCAGACATATCCTCAAACCTCGACATGCCAATAGGCTCGGATGTACGAGTCTGGAGATCAACCACCCAACAGTGGACAGGACCATTCAGAATACTCTCTGTCGACGAGCGCTCTTGCGTAGTCGCCAGGGATCGGGACCAGCCATTGGAAGTATCGATAACTGCCGTACGACCCTACTTTAATGACAACGACGGTGAAACCGCAGCTCAACCACAAGAAAGAGAAGAGCCAGGGGAAGAACTACCACCGCCCCCTGATGATGAGCCAGAAATCGTCCTCGACGAAATCGTCGTCGCAGCGTCGTCGGATGACGAGGACGACGAAACCAACGACCAACGGGAAGAAGGCGAAGAACCGCCTACCCAGAGTAGTCCATCGCCAGCGCCGCCGCCCCGACGAAGAGGCCGGCCCCGACGCGCACAGATCAGACAGTCCTTCGCTAGCGACAATGGGACTAACATATACGGCACTATGGAAGATATGGCAAAAGCCAACACCTACTACACGGCAAAAGAGAAAGCCGACTTCGCGCTAGCAGTCAAGCTACGGAAAGACGGTATTATTACTACAGAAGGAAGACCATATGAGGGATCCGACCTCGTCGAAGCAGATACCCTACGGGATAGAGGAGTCTACCGCTTCATCCCATATGACCCAGACAAGCACACGAACCTCCGCATATTCAAGTCACGCATGGTCCGCGAGATTAAGGGTAAGGGGACCCCAACCCCTTACGAGAAATCACGGCATGTGATCCAGGGGTACGGCGACGTCGAGAAGGCAGGGATACTCACGCAGTCACCTACGGTCCAACGATGTAGCCAACGCCTCATGATGGCACTGATGGCATCACTTATGCGGAAGGGATACCGCATCTGGAGTCGCGATATCACGCAAGCCTACACGCAATCGGCAACGGGACTTACAAGGAAGATCCTGGCGTACCTACCAAAGGAGATGACCAGCAAGTACCCAGAGGGCACTATCATCGAGGTACTTAAACCACTGTATGGTCTTGCGGAGTCGGGCACCCACTGGTGGGCTACCTACCACGACTTCCACATCAACCAACTCGTGATGATTACATCGACATACGACCCGTGTTTGCTCCTTTCTGAGCACACCGATGGGCCGTTAGGCATCGTTGGAATGCAAACAGACGACACGTTGGGACTCTCTAACGTCGAGTTCATGAAGAAGGAGGACGAGGAGCTACAGAAGGCAAACTTCACGGCGAAGCCCAAGGAGGTCCTCACGACGAAGCACCCACTTACCTTTAACGGTGGCGTCCTCACGATCGAGGGGGATACCGTCGTCTTTCGACAAAAGGGACAAGGGGAGAAAATCACACTAGTCGACCCAGCCTCCACGGACCGACAAAAGCAGTACCGCGCTGAACAGGCGCGAGGATCCTACATCGCAAGTATCTGCCAGCCTGAGGCTACGTTTGACTGCGCCAGAGCCGCGCAAGCAACCGACCCAACGGATAGGGACATTGCGGCCCTTAATAGGCGGCTTAAGTGGCAGTCCGACAATCTCGACAGAGGGCTTACGTACTACCCCTTGGATCTGACCTCAGCGAAGCTCTACGTATTCGTCGACGGATCCTTCGCGAACAACGCAGACTTGACTTCACAACTGGGTTATATCATCCTTTTGGCCAACGAGACCATGGGTGAGGATAGTTTTTCTATCTACGGCAATGTGATACACTACTCGTCCACCAAGAGCAAGCGTGTCACTAGAAGTGTGCTCGCCTCGGAGGTCTACGGTATGGTCAACGGCGTTGACCTCGCCCACGCAATTTCCACTACGCTGAAGAGGATTACAGATCGGATGGACCTACCCACGATCCCCACGATCGTCTGTACTGATTCGTACTCACTGTACGAGTGCCTCGTCAAGTTGGGCACCACAAAGGAGAAGAGGCTTATGATCGACATAATGGCTCTTCGACAGTCATACGAAAGACGCGAGATCTTCGAGATCCGTTGGATCAATGGGGACGACAACCTGGCAGACGCCTTCACCAAAGCAACCCCCAATCAGGGGCTGAAGCACTTCATCAGAAAGGGGAAGACCACCGTACGAATGGAGGGATGGGTCACTCGCAAGGAACCCAAGAAGGAGGAAAAAGGGGGACAATAAATCTGTTGCGGCACCGAGTTCGAATTGTACTCCCAACCGTGCTGTCAAGCGATAAAAGAGAGAGATAGTCAGTGTCGGATTGGAAGTCCAATTCGACCTCGAGGCGGGGCAGCGCAGGGGGCAACTACGACCCCTGAATAGATTCCGACTGCCCACCCAACCTACGGTTGGAACCTCCCTTTTACATACCACGCAGAATCAGTCAATACAGAGAATTGACCCTTCGTCACCCCGGAATCCATCGGTTCGAACCAACTACCCTGTGATAGGAACACCAACAGTAAGCGTCCATTATGCGTATAACTTACGCTTTTCTACAATAGCTTAAGAACTTGGACCGTAGAGAAACATTCTTTAGGTGCCGAAGCGACTAACAGCAGAGTCAGCGGATCACGGGGGCAAAACCAGCAAAGCGACAACGTGCATCGTTGGCTACATATATCCTCCCCGCCGAAGAGTGGTACTGCGGCAACTGTCTGTCTTCACACGGTCGTTTAGGATCCGGCCTGTGTAGATAGAGGTGTCTTCCGCAGCACGCTTAAAAGCCTAGCCGCAGATGGCAGCGCACAGCAGGTTTACTTTGATCGCTCATGATGAGGAGAGAATATGATCATCTGAAGCGATAAGCAAAAGCATACAATGATTGGAATCTCGGCCGATTGCCGGTATGAGAGGACACGTGCAACGTAAACCAAGGCATCCTCTGGGCCGCCTCGTTGCTAAGTGGGCAGCGGTGGGAACGCAGTCGGGAAGCCGGCGGGGATCACCCGAGAGACAGCCAGCCCCCGACCGCCATGCATGAATCCTATTGAGAAAAGCATTGCTATGAAAATGGGTATCAACCATCCTGCCTGACTATGACCGAACGCCGCCAAAAAGAATCACTAACGTCACACACACTTGGCGAAAAAGCGGATTAACCTGTCCGAAGTCGCTTGTGTCCGTGCGGGCTCCCCATCTGCCATCTTCTGCCCTCGTGTAAAATGTTCTCGTCTTCGTCAATACCCCTTGCCCGCTTCCCTATTTTCCTTCTTCCCTCGTGTAAAATTCCCTCGTTCTCGTCGCAACCTCTTGTCTGATTCTTGTCATGTGTGGACATGGCGTGTGTAAGGCGATGCCGGAATGAGGAGTATGGCTCATAGGGGACGGTAGTATGGTAAATTCGAAAAGACGTGTCTCGGACGGGAGGTAGTCGGGGGTACACGAGCTTGTCGAGGAAGGCGTCTGGTACTTGAGCCGTGTAAACTCTGAGACAAGATTTATCATTGACGTCGCTGACGAGGACATGGGCCTAGATATCGATTAGTATCCCCCGCTGGGGAACAGGAAAGCAGGTCGAGCGAGACGCACACGAAAGGCTTGTTCGGCGGGTGGCGGCGACCGGTCTCGGGACTGGACAGCTCTGCGCTGGGCCTGAGCCAATGCAATAAGCATGACTGCCATGTACGGATCTCGACAGGGAGCAATGTCGGCGGCCAACTGGCCAAGATGGCTTTGGTAGAGACGCTTCTTCTCTTGGCTGAAGTATTGCAGGTAGAGGTTTCGAAGATGTTCCTCGCGGGATGCCCTGATGTCGCTGGCGTCGAGGTAGATGATGGAAGGGCCGGGGACGGTGGAGTATTCGGAGAGCGTTTCGAAGGCAATGCCGAGGACTGGTTCCTTGAATGCCCTGTATCGGAAGGGGACGGCGGTCCTGTTACAGCAGATCATGTCAGCCGGCCTGTCTCTGTCCTGTAGGGATCAAGTGTGAAAGAGGGAGGGGGGGAGAAGTAGACGGGGGGTAGAGAGGGGCGGCGGACCTCGATTGTTTTGCTGCGATGGGACTTGACTCTAACAGACTCATCATGGCAGTCTGCTTCCCGGCAAGCATGTCACACAACGCAATTCTCCTAGCCCACCTTTCTTGTGCGGGAGGCTTGGTCATCAGCAAAAGGCCTGGCGGCGGAGTGCATGCCTTTGTGATGGTACAGTTGGTGACATGGCTGCTATCACCGTTGGTCGGAACAAGGAGAGGAGAGGAGGGCTCTTTGGGGCTTAGTATGGCCACTGAAGAGGGGCTTTGACGCGATTCCTTGGTCTCCGTCTCTGGCGGCGGCGGCGGGGGCGTGTGATGTCGGTCTCGGTCAGAAGGGGAGGTATCGACAAAGGCGCAACCGAGGAGACGAAGATGAGCAGTCGACAGTCGCAAAGGGTGCACCTGCAGCTGAACAAGAGGGTATTGTAGGAGCGTCTGATGCACTGAGAGCCGTGAGGAGTTTGGATCGATTGTCGTGACTGTTGGAAAAAACGAGCGCATGGTGCAGGAGGGGAAGCCCTTGTTCAGGTGTGAGTGTGGATTGTCGATGGTCATCTCACAGCGACAGCGCGTCGCAGAAAAACACCGGAAGCCCGTTAATTGCCTTTGTCACGCTAGCACGTGACAGTCAGCATGTCACTGCTTCGATGATTAGATAAGGCTCTGATTAGATAAACTCCCACCACCCCGCCTACCCCCACCTTCCCCCCACCATCGCCGACTGCGACTGCCACTGCCGACTTGTCGGGCTCATGCCCCATCCGATCACTCACTCACGCCCGCCCTCATCCACCTAACTCCTAACTATTCCCATCCTCCTCTCATCACTTTCACTCCTCTCTCAAACATGGCCTTGTCAAACCAGATATTTCTGCCTCAATTGGAAGCAGCAACGGCTGCTGCAGCACGCCAACCATGGCCCCCGACAAGTCGTATTTTGACTCGATCGCCACCCCTGCCGCCTACCAGCGCTTGGCCCACTCCTTGGGTGAAGACCAAAGCGTGTCCGACGTCCTGAACAAGACGAGCACAAGCAAATGGGACCGTTCCCACCTCGTCGCGCTCCGCGTGTTGGTGAGAGGTAAGACGGAAAACAAGCTGCTGCCTCTTATTTCCAGCAACGCCACGGCCATGGCCTGGATCACCGTCTTGACCTCCACCATGTCGACTGATGTAGGCACTTTTTGGAGTCAATACCCAGAAACAAGAACAGCGCTGAGCGACATTCTTCGAGGCCGGGACAGAACCGGCGACGAGAGCACCCTGACCGAATACCAACTCTCCAAACAAGGCAACGATCCGTCTCTCGGCCGGATCTGGGCGGCCTTGAACCGGCTTGAAGCACCATTGGGCAGCTTGGTCGCGCCCGATGTTGACGAGTACTCTACCATGCCCTACATCAGCAACCGCACCGCCAACCACAGCAACGATGAAGACGACGATGAAGACAGCAGTGGGCCGAGCCCAAGCGAGCAGAACAGGGCCCCGACCACCCCTCCCACACCGAATCTACCGCCCCCAAAGAGGACCCGCACGGCGCCCTCGGCCTACCCCGGCATGGTCACGATGCCCGAAAGTAGTCCCGGAACAGCAGCAGCAGGTTCCTCGCCGCACTCGGCAAACTACACACCCGAACACGAAATAACCTCCGGCCGCAGCAGCGCCGAGGATCTGACCTTTGACTTCATTGCTGCCGTTCTCCGCCACTTGCTGCTCCACGTGCCGCCCCAACACGCTTACGAGCCCGACGAGGGTGATACGGCGCCACTCGACTTTGACGCCCTCAAGCTCCCTCTTCGCTCCGTCATATCTCGGGTCGCCTTCACGTCCGTGGACGACGGGGGTCTGTGGATCAAGCCCATGTCAAAGGTGTCGCGTGCCCGCGTGGCTATTCTGGAGACAAAGCGGGCCATTAGTCGCATCGTCGACGGCAAGCCCGATTTCTCCAACGAGTTGCTGGCGCAGGTTGTTGGGGAGTCTCTTGCCGTGCGTCTGGGGAAAGACCTGTGGCTGGGGCCAAAAGAAAGGTAAGTCGGCAGGCAGCCAGCAGCCGACAGGTATCAACGGCGAGTCACCCTATCATCTAGCTTATGCCTCTTCTCAGTGTCATCGTCATCGTCGCCGCACGTTACTTTATACGTTTTCTTGAGATTAAGATCTCGGACCAATACCTCGAAAGTCTCAAGGAACATATTTATGAGAAGGCCACCTTCCTGGAGTTCATCAATGTCGAACACACACGCTGGTTCGACTTTAGGGACGCCACAGATCGTCTGCAGGTCATTCGTAACGTTTCCGGTATCGTGACGGTCACGCAACAAGCGTTTGATGTATAACTGAGATGTGGCATTGGTGTGCTACAAATATGAGTGAAGCGAGTCTCTTAAGCTGTCACCTGTTGCCCGGCGATTTCAGGCCACAGGCCACATGCTATGGGGTCGAGTCCGGTGAAAGAGCTCGGCTCAAGCCCAGCTCGTGAAGCTGTTCCTCACGAGAAGAGCCGAGTCTCGAGTCCCGGGGTCCGGGGTCCGGGGGGTAATGAGGGGCGTATACGGGATTAGATGGGATCAAGGGGTCGCCGTGAGTCCGGGTACAAAGGCCTAGCTGTGCCACCGAGGTTGCGTCTCCCCATCGTTGTAGTTTTGAACAATAGGTAAGGAAACCTTGAGCCGGCACGACTGATAACCAGAACCCAAGTGCTGAGAGTTTCGTGGAGTAATAAGGCGCTCTGCCGCCGTTGCCCCTCCATCCGATTCTTTGCTTTCGCCCACCTTGATAAATAATTATTCATAACAGTTGAAGCAATCCGGGCGCGCTCCCTGGGCCACGCCCACGGGCTGATACGACGGCCTCTGCCCAATTACTCGTCTCTCCATGCGCACCAGCGACGATCCTCAGCCCGCAAACCCAGCCCCCTTCCGCCAGCATCCCATCAATGACGCTGTCTCTTCTTGACCTGGTGGTGCAGCAAGGCACCATCTTAGGATGATTTCCGGCCTGCCTAGAGCCACGCCATGACGCCCAGCCCAGCCCTCACAGAAACGAAACATTACTCAAAAGGAACACCGACTGCGCACCCTTGCCGTCCTCGTCTCCTTCAAAAGGGCACGCTGCGCAGCCATGGACGGATTTAACTCGACATGTAACATTTTCCAGAAACGGTTCAAGGAAAGAACACCCCCTAGGTTACGCAATGCACATCCAAGTAAAATGGACCAGTCCCCTCCCAAAGCCATTCCCAACGACCATTGGTTGCTGCCGCGGCGTGCTCTTTAACGGGGGCAATGTTGTGGGGTAGCAGTCAAGCCGCGTCGTTTCCCATCTTCCTTCTCATCTTAACTATCCCAGCTTTGGATTGAACTGCCAACAAATCTACAAGACCAGACACGCACGCACGCCTCCCGCTGCGACTTGGACGGCCGGGGCCAATGGAATAAATGAATGTGCCTGGGATGAGTACAGCTCTCAATGCAAAAGGAACCACCACGACGCGGTGTCTTCCGGCTTCATTGCGACACAGCCGTCGCCCTTTCAATATTTCGACAGGAGGGAGCATAATGACAACTCGAGTGTCTCAGACCAGACCAGAACCTGCCGACTTCGGGCTCTACGTGTACCTTACCTTGGGTAGTTTAACGGGGGCGGGGCGGCGGGGCGTTTTTGGGAAATAGGAAAGAGCGATCGGGAGGAGCAGCGGTTTTGTGCCGATATAATTGAGCTGCCGATTTCTACACTAATACCAAGGTAAGGTACAATCGGCAGCTCGCTCTACCTCCTTTCTCGAGATACGTACCGGTATACTACCTGACCGCCTAACCTTATCGTGTAAGCAGTGCACCTCAACACCGCAACATCTTGTACCTTGTACAAGGAACGTGAATAATCTGCCCACTGTCCTGTCCAGGCCAGTCACTGCCATCACTGCTGCCACACACACGTACATAGGAAAGGAAGCCCACAGGGGCGGAGATGGTAGGTCTGTGGAGGATCGCGGGTCTTGGGGGGAGGGGGTTCCTTGCGACCAAGTAGAGGAGAGACATTCGGCGCTGAGGTACCGGTTAGTGCATGTACGGGATAGTAAGAAAGTCGCATGGTTCAGGAGCTTTCTTTACTACAAGTTCTGGTTTCGATAAGAGTTACTTACCTACGGACGGACGGATGAGCGGGAAGGTACAAACAAAAGCTTTCTTTTCTGGTGTTGGAAAATCAACACCGGTTCCGTTTCGGTGACGTAATCCCCACACCGTCTCGTGGGAAGGGTAGGAGGATTACCTGCGCCTGCCCACCTTACCTTAGCATGGCTATAAGATGGGTGGAAAAGGTGGAGGGCTGCCGTGCATTTGTGAAGAATGAGAAGAGATGCAAGGTGCCAAGTTGAGGCCGTTTGGTGTGGTTGGGTAGCGTCGCTCAGCTGCCACAAAAACACGGACGCTGGCACAGCTGCCCAGGTTCTTCTTTTCGTTGCAATGTGGCAATGTAGCCCTGACCTACCTACATTGTGAAGTCATTCGCAGCTGCATACCCGTAAGAGCCCCTGTGTCAAGGAGGTCATTATGTATATTACCAAGGTAGCGATGGCATCGTCTGATGAAGTTGAGGATGTCGTGATATCAGAGAGCGCCGAGCCGCTCACTCAAATTGTCGATAGTGCTCGCCAGACCGGTCGGTTAACGAGGTGGGCTCCATGAGATGAGATGAATGACACGAGCGAATATGAGAGTGAGGCTGAGAGTGAGAATGAAAGTGAGGATGAAAGTGAGATTATGAGTGAGTGAGAATGAGACTGAGACTGAGAATAAGGCACATTATAGGTTAATTAGCACGGGTCTGCCTGCCTTGAACTCCCTCTTCCCATCTCATCTTCCTGGTGCTAATCATGACACGTTTGCGACTAGTGTAGCGCGACAAACGACCCGGCTATCAACAAAGATTTGGACCATTGCTTCGCCATACCACTCACCACTTCCCTCTCGCCTAATTTTTCTTGGCATCTGCTGTTAGTGAATGAATGAACCTACCACCAAATTACTAACAGCCGAAAACTCTTCACCTCTCCTTGCCGGAGCCCGCATCCGCGATGGCCTCACAGCCGCCGCCGGGCACCGGATTGATGTCGGCCGACACAGCCGACCCCGAACTAGGCTCCGGAACACCCCCGGAGCCGAACCCCACCTCAAGAGCTAAGCGACGCCGCGACACCGAGGCTCAGCCAACTCGGCCTAGCCTAACGGGAAGCCAGCTTGACGCCACCAACGACGCCCCTCCCTCGGCAAAGGGGCCTGCAATCTCTACAGCAGCAGCTCCGACTAGGTCCGCCACAGGGTTCGTCTTGACAGCCCTGGCAGAAGAAGCTAGACAGTACGAGGCACGAAAAGACGTCTTTCTGACCATTGCACAGTCTGTTGACAGCGTCGTCGCCAGCTTTGACGGTTCCAGAAAGCAGATCGCGAAAGAAGCCACTGCCCATGTCATCCAAGCCCTCAAGAGACTGATCAATCACGAGACAACCCTAGCAGCGGCTCGGAGTTGGGCGGCTGTCGCCGCACCGATGGCGGGCAACACCACTGCGGCGACCCGGAGCGGCCAGAGCTCTGCTCGCCCGAAGCCCCCACTCTCCGCCCAGGATCGGCCGCAGGCGCAGCCGAAGGAGGACCTCCGCATCTTTGCCCGCGTCCCGGAAGAAGGCTTGGCCGCCGCTCGGAAAATCGCACTATTTGCTGTACGCCAGATCGTCTGCAAGGCCTTTGGCCTGGGGCTAGCGGACCTTCCCCACGTCTACCATATTAGCACAGGATACTCTTTGAAGCCGCTAAATAAGCAAACACAGGAAAGACTACTTGCAAGTAAGGAAAAGCTGGCGGAATGCCTCGGCGCCCACCAAGTCGAGAAGCCTATCAAGTGGCACACGTACGTTGTGCCGCGATGCCCAACAAAACTACACAGCATTGGCGGGGACGTCCTGGACCCAGCCGCGCTCGTTGAAGATGAGGTCTTCGCACAGACAGGACAGAAGCCTGTCCTTGCTCGACCGTCCCGCCTTGGGCCCAACCCAGTCACGAACGAAATATCTTGGCTCATATCATTCACATCGGAGGTCACGCCCTTCAGGCTCTTCAACCAAAGCGGCAGATCTCTGCCCGTCAAGAAACGTAAGACGTTTATCCGACACGACCCCGGCTGCCAGGGTTACCACTCCAACCGGTTCTGCGGACGACGACCGATCTGCAGCAACTGCGGAAGACCTTCCGACTCACACGAGACGGGACCTTGCACGGCCAGGCCCCAGTGTGCCAACTGCTGCGGCCCCTTCCAAGCCAGCCACACAGACTGCCCAGCGAGGCCCTCGGTCGGAAATGGCGTCGTCTCCCTTCCCGGTCGAAAGGAGCGGGCTCGTATCCGGAAGGCCGGCCAGAAAGTATCGGACACTCTGTACAAGGCTACTCGATCCGACAGCAGCCATGAGGCGGCAGGCGTCCCTACCTGTACCAGCCAGAACCAGCAGCCCGGCGCCAAGCGCGCGCGCACGAGAACGCCCTCCGCGAGCTCAATCGTTTGCCTCGGCGACGGAAGCACCGACGGCAGCAGCATGGATGAAGACGAGGTGGACGAAGCCGAAGACTCTCCTGACAACACCCACATCGACCGTCCCGTGCTACCCATGCCAAGCAGGAGCCAACGGGCAGCACGGAAGCCAAACTACAATGTTGCGAATGCCTACACCCACCTCGAACTCGACTCGGAGACGTAAGCCGAGAGCGGCGGCCCCACGGATGCTACGCGTTGCGCAGGGCAACGTCGGAAAGATTTCCCCGGCGCACACGGCTTTCCTGCAGCTCTGCTGGGAGGCTCAGATGGAGGTGGTCCTCGTCCAGGAACCCTGGACGGGCTGGAAGGACGGTAACGTGCAACTCAACACACATCCGGGTTTTGACTCCTTCGTCCCGGTCGACTTCTGGGACAGCGAAGGTACTAGACCAAGAGTATTGACCTATACACGTAAAGGAATAGGGATGAAGGTGGAGCAACAGAGGCCCGTCCACACGAGAGACGTACTGTGGCTGGTGGTCGACAAAACGACGACCATCGTCAACGTCTACAGACAACCCAGCGATCCCCATAGCTACACGACAGAGATACTGCTGGAACTCAAACCTCCGGAACGAACCTTGATCGCGGGCGACTTCAACGCGCGCCACTACTCCTGGGAGCCCGGGACGAGGAACGGGAATCGGGGAGATGACATCGCAGGCTGGGCAGACGGTCACAACCTCTCTCTGATCAGCGAAGTTGGGGTGGCAACCCAGGTCTGCGGACATGTCCTCGACCTAGCTTTCTCAACATCCCTTTTGCACACGCGCAGGTCAGCCCACATTTACACCCGGGGCTGACCACGAGGCCATCGCGCCGTCATACCACTACCCAGACGCCTACAATCACAGGGCGAGGGCCGCCCGCAGCCACGGCCACCATCAGTGCCCGACTCGGCGCTGCCCCGGCTGAGAGACCTGATCAAAGGGGGGCTAGCTGCGATGCCCAATCTGGGCGATCGACCTACTCTGGCGGACCTAGACGGGCAGGCAAGTCACATCGTCGAGCTCTTTTCCCGAGCCATTGAGGCGGTCGGCAAGAAACGAGGAAGAGACGGGGAAAGCGCGGCCTGGTGGACAGAGGAATGCGCAGAGGCCCACAGAGCGTACCGTGCTGCCCGCAACTAACAAGCCTGGGAGACAGAGCAGGACGCACACTTTCTCTAAGGAAGAACGAAGGCATTCCTGAGCATGGTGAGGAAGGCTAAGCGGCATACTGGGTCCGGAAAGATCGATGGAGTCGCTTCAGACCGGGACCTCTATCAGATCATGGGTTGGCGGAAGGCGAGCCACTGACCAGAGCACCCCCACTGGTTGTGGACAACCAGACGATCGAGGATACTAACGAAAAGGCCAAGCGCTTCGGGAGCCCTGCTCGACAGATTTAGCGCGGAAGACGACGCACCGGGTGACCCGTTTGACGTACCTGTCGTCCCAAGGCGAGCGATTACTTGGCAGGACAATGTTAGCGGAGAAGAAGTGAAGCGGCCACCTTAACAAAGACAACGACCCCTGGCGTGGACGGCATTACAACACGCCTCCTCCAGGCATGCTGGGATGTCATCTCGGAACCGTCAGGCAGCTATTCCAGTCCTGTATGCGGGCCGGCACTTTCCTCTGCCTTCCGCAGAGCTGAGGTGGTCATGATCCAGAAGGCCGGCAGGGATGCCTCCAAGCCCGGGTCCTGGCGGCCGATCGCGCTCCTCTCGTGCCTGGGCAAGGGACTAGAGGACTGATAGCCAGAAGGATGGCGTCCCTGGCGATTGTCGAGCGCATCATCAGTCCGCAACAGATCGGGCTCTACAAGGCAGGTCAGCCGTCGATCTGACGACCTGCCTCACCCACGACATCGAGATGGCCCTCCTAAAGGACTCACGGCGACACTTCTGACTATGGACGTAAAAGGGGCGTTCGACTCCGTCCTTCGGAACCGGCTCGTCATTAGACTGCGTCAGCAGGGATGGCCACATGGCCTGACCAGACTGATCTTTAGCTTCTGCTGCAACCGCACCGCTAGAGTCCGACTGGAAGAAAGCACAACGGAGTACTTCCCGCTGTCATGCGGGCTGCCTCAGGGGTCACCACTATCTCCCATTGCCTTTCTGCTCTACATCGCAGAGATACTTGAAGACGACCCGAACGCGCGATTCGGGTACGCGGACGACATCGCCACTCTGGCCATAAGCCCCTCCCTGGAGAGCAACGTCGCAATACTCAACCGAAGCGCAGCCGGCATTCTCAGATGGGGTTGGAGAACAAGGTCTCCTTTGACCCGAGCAAGTGCGAGGTCATCCACTTTACTAGGAAGCACGGCCAGCCAGCGGAGCTGCCAGAGGTCGGGCGGGGGATTTGGTGGTCAAGGCCTCGACAAACCTGTACGCTGGCTGGGTGTCTGGTTCGACAAGAGACTGTCCTTCCGGCACCACGTCGACACAAAAGTAGCTGCGGCAAAGAGGCAGCTCAACATCTGAGCAGCTTACAAACACAAAGAGAGGACTCCAGCGGCCGCCGTGCGAAAAGCCGTCGTCTCCTGCGTACTGCCGATCGCGCTCTTCGGCGCCGAAACATGGTACGCAGGTATCACGAAGCCGGCTTCGAGACGCCAAGCGGAGACAGACACGAATCCGCCTCTCCAAGGAAGACCCGTCAACACAGGCCAAAAGGGCTCGTGCAGAAGATCGACAGCGTCATTACAGCGGCAGCAAGGGCCGTTCTGCTGTCTGGAGGACAACGCCAACCAGCAGCCTCCTCCGAGACGCCGGCTTACCGTCAGCCAAAGTCGCCTTAGAGGGCGTCCGCTTACGGGCCGCAGTCCGACTACAGAGGATTGATCGCCGACACCCGCTAGTCGCGCGGCTCTCCCAGCAGGGACAGCAACAGACGAACTACAACGGACGGCTGAACTTCTGCCAAGATGCGGAAGACCAGCGTTCCTCAATCACAGTACCTGCCAAGCTCACAGGATCAGATAGTAGTTCAATGCAAAGAAGAGGCTGCGAAAGCTTTCGAGCGCTGGCTAAAGACAGTACCGGAAAGCCATATGATCGTCTTCTCGGACGGCTCCAGGGCGACGAACGGAGCCGTGGGGTACGGCTTCGTCATCTACCGAGACTCCAAACGCATAGCGCAAGGGTGCGGCCGACTCGGACTGGCAGAAGTGTTCGACGCCGAGGTCGAAGGAGCGCGAGCCGGCCTCAGAAGGGCTCTGCTCACCAATCGCGGTCATCCAATCCACATATGTATCGACAACACCAGCGTTATACAAGGTATCCGCGGCAAGGCCCGGACTCGTCACAAGAGGCGTTCCTCGAAATCCAAGAAGCAGCCAGGATTTTGATGTACGGACGCACTGGTCTCCGGGACACCAGGGCATCGAAGGAAACGAGGCCGCGGACCGGCTGGCCAAAGAAGGAACGACACTGCCGGCGCGGATGGGTCAAATGGCAACACTAGCGGGCATCAAGCGGCTTGCAAGGGAAAAACTACAGAGCCAGCACAGGAGATGTGGTATAAAGAGCGAAGGCCGCGGTACGCGGACTTGGGGCTTGAGGCAGCTCTATGCAGCCCTCCTGAACTGGCCTTGCCGCGGGCTACGTTACACCACCTGCTGGCAGCACGATCGGGTCACGGAGACTTTGAGCAATATCATCGACGTTTTAACTACGAAGACGCTCTAATGACGTGCTCTTGTGGAGAGGCGAAAGACGTGGATCACCTGGTCTACTGTCGACTAACGCTGGCAAGGAGGCAACGGTGGCCGACCCTCCACTCTCGCAGTACGCCCGAGCCCATAGGCCCTATGGGGTCTCTCGAGGCCTACTTCAAGAGATTAATCACCGACCCACGAGGCTTCGAGGCCTTTCTCCGCGTAACAAATTTCTTCCAGAAGATCTGTCCGCGGTAGCAGCACCTATACATACGTAGATGTGAGTGCAGACTATAAAGAACCCCCCGATTCCAAGGGACGATTTAGGAAAGAATGAAACTGGGGCACCAGCGGGAACCGGGGACAGATAGAACGCGTAGTGGCCACAAGGCATGATTTGGAGGACGATGTAAAGAGACGACGTACTGTAGAGTAGGTAGCCTTGGCTCACGGCCCTCCACGCCATATACCCTTAGGGAGGTCTGCGGTAAGGGCCTAGGTCCTTCCGCCACGGCGTTAAATACAACAACAACAACAACAACAACATACCCTCTCAAAAGGATACCTTGACCTCGAGTCCGCCCCCAATGATCAGGAGAATGGGGGCTTCTCAAGGCAAAGTACAGAAAAAAGTTGAAGACATAATGGGTTAATGCGATGAGTGACGCCGCTATTAATATGCTACTTCTATTTTTTCCTAGTACAAGTACCAAATCCCTTCCGTAATTTCATTTAGGGTTACCAAGTAATATTTACTTACTTCTTTAACTTAGTACAGAAGTGAACTTGTAGCGGCCCAAGAGACAGGCCTAGAAAAGATCTATTGAAGCGGCGGTTGTGGATCTCTTTATACGGAAGACCCGGCCCTCTCAGCCAAGTAAGGGGTTCATTATACACTTCATGTAGTAATGATCTTGTCGACGATACTGTTATGGTTAATTACCCTCAACAGCTGCGGCAACCAAGATGATATACCGCAGTGGAAGAGTAGTTCCTTGGCTACTATTAGATATGGTCGCTATGTAGCGGAGTATTGAGTAGTGCTACTATGATCGGCGCTATAGAGGACACTGCGAGGATGGCCCGTGTTACTATGCGAGCGAGTGACTGCGAGAAGATTAGTTCGTATATAAGCCGATGATCAAGTCTAAACAGGGCGGAGTTGCGATAGGAGGAAGTGGGGTTTAAGTATTGAAGTCTTGGTAGAGGATGAAATGATTTCGTTAAGATGATTAGGACCATCTAGGCACTAATTTCTCCTTCGCTTCACCAAGCTTCCGGTGCACAGTATTACCGAGGTCGACTCGAGAGATTGAAGCAGATGTGGTCAGGAAGGAGGCAAGTGGCGGGCTTAAACCATCATTGTACCCGCACCGAATCCGGATTATGTTGTCGTGTTTGCCACTTCGGCTTGGCCTTTGTTGGGAACAGTACCGCGTGGAGCCCCAAAACCAGTTCCACTTTCTCATGGACAGCTCATACTCATTGAATGGCACCCTCTAGCACTATTCTGTCTCGGTTCACTTGACTGGATTCTGCGCTCTGACTACCAGCAGGGTGAGCAAACGCCTGGTGTTCACTGGAAGGGCTGCTGCTTAACGAAAGCGCTGGTGCTCCAGGAGGGCTCTGCTAGTGTCCCGCTTTTCTTTGCAGAGCTTCTGACTGATGCCTTGCGGTACCCCTTCTGTTGCTTTGCATATGGCGGTTTTTCTTTTTGATACGGAGTGTGCAGTATTCTGCTGCTCTTTATTTACGTCAGGCTTCAAGTATTGGTCGCGTACCGTGCCCTTGTCTATTGTCGCCGCGCAAGCTACCTGTTCCCCTGCGTGTCGGACTCCGGGGTCCGCTTCAGGCAACGCAGGAACATGGCGCGCGCTAGCTGTTCCTGAAACGAGGAAAGTACGATTGAAAGGAAATGTGGAAGCAGCGGACGAGGATACCCGAGGCGGTACGAGGGACTTCGTGAGTGCTCGAGAATTTATCGAGAGCGGCAGCAGGCACGTCGGCGGTATACAAGTTGATGTGCAAATTGTTCTTCGTATCGCTCAGAAGCACGCGAACCTGCTCAGGCCAAAGTCAGCGATATATCATGCGAGACAGTCTGGCATGGCTGGCACATACCCGGAAGCTCTCGGGAGCAGAAGGCACATCGGCGCGGGCGCATCAACGCTACTGGGACTGGGCGAGCGCGATGAGCAAGGCCACGATGTAGGGGTCTTGGAGGGGTTCGGCGGGGGTGATTTGGGCGAGCTGTTTAGCATAGAGAGACGCGTTGGCCCTGCTTGGCCGACGGCTCCGAGGTGGGCGACGGATATACTCCAACGACTCTTCGCGGGCGAGGCGGTTGTCGTAGCAGCCCAAATAAGCGATTGATAAAAGAGGGCGATTGACAGTCGAGGCCGGCTCCGGAGGGTAAGGGAAGACGGAACATTGCATGGAGACAAAGTATGCCTCGAATCGAAAACAGAGTTGTTTACTGCAGAGAAGCGCACAGTCAGCACCTACGGCATGGCACGGCCACTGTGGCATATAGAATACGCACCTTGTTCTTTGGATGTAGATCACTTAAAGCTTTGTGAATCATTATCTGAGGACCCATTGATTGTGATTTGATGAGATCATTAAGGCCTTCGCCAGGGCCATGCAAATTATCGCTGGCTTTTGCCTGACTTTCGTTCGTGGGCTATGACCATAGGGCAGCGAGAGCGTTAACCTAATCGGCAGAAAATGACTATATGTGAAAGTAATTAGAAATGTGAGCGAGGTTTGCTGGATTGTCGAAAAAGAAGTCTCGAGGGTGGAATTGAAAGGAACACAGAATGTCTCAGCATATTTAGTAAGCTGGTGGTTTCACTATATCTGCAGAAGCGGAAGTTTGCAAAGGTGGGAATGGTGCAGCGGTTAAGATGTCGCCGGCAGGTCTTAGCGGTGGGTGTTACGACCCGATTGGATACGTAACTACATGATGCAGAACAGAAGATAATGATGAAGGTGCATTATTACCGAAGCTTTAGCTTTGTGTCGCAGTTGGTTGTCCTGAAGAAACCCGAGGACAAGCCGCTACATCAGCGCGGGGTCCCGGTCATGGTCGTCTTCGACTCGTCTGCCCGGAAGACCGGAACCCCCAAGTGGCTCACCGGGACCCACTACCGGGCCCGTCTGCTTGGCGCTCGTCTCTATCAAGGTCGTCTTCTCTGTATTCTTCGGCGGCGGGACTTCTATCGTGGTCGCCTTCCTCTGAGCACGGGGGACACCCGCCAATAACGCAGCCATGTCATCGGGAACGACTCCAGCGCCAGCGGCATCTCTCACAGCAGCATCCCCGCCGTCCTTTCCACCATCCTCGCCGTCAATAGTCGCTGCTAGTGCTGGCCTTCCCGCAGCCCACTCCCCCCGCCACCTGGCAAAATGCCTCTCCAACCAGGTAACGAACCCCTCTCCCACGTCCCACGACTGAAGCCACCCCCGCTCTCCTGAGACTTCGTCCTGCCACCCGAGGTGCGCGAGGTGCGCGAGGTACTCGAACCCGGGGTCCATCTCCTCCAGTAACACGACCGCGTCGCCGGCGCCGGCGCCGTCGTCGTCGCCTCGGGCGGCCGCCAGGAGATGCTCGCGCTTGCGCCAGATCATCCGCGCCCGCGTCGGCCGGATATCCGCCTTCGCTCGCTGTAGTTTGTGCTCGGCTGCGAGGGTCGAGATGTTGCCTAGATCCATCCCGTTAGGAGTCCGTCGCCCGTGATGAGCCGGGAGGGTGACTTACTGACCCCGTCGGTCACAACGCGTGTGCGAATTCCGTCGGACGTTGCGTAGCGGTTCTTGATGAAGAGACGGCGGTGAGCTATAGGCTGAGAAAGTGCCTCTTAACGAAAATCATGCGAAGACATAACCGCGGACCGAACCTAATGATTCGAATGGCCTGTGCTATGCCGACCGCTCCGCCAAACCCCCCAGAAGTTCTATCCCAATACATACGCCTTGAGAGCTTATCTATTTCCTTGACTGCCACGCCTATTACGCACTCTTCCCGGGCCCTAGCGGTGAAACCTCTTGCAAGCAAACAAACAATCGAACAACCAACATACAAATACGCAAACAGCAAGAATGAAAAAATTACACCACACGGCTGCAAGCATCGACCCATGACCCTATACTGTGTGTGGTCCGTGGGCCATCTTGTGTGGTCCGTGGGCCATCTTGTGTGGCAATTCATATCCGCAATGTCTTGCAGAAAAAAAGGGCTTCAGAGGCCAACAAACAGAATTCTCAGTCACCGCATCTAAACCACCCATCCCATGTCCCGCCACACCTGACCACAGAGTCCGTCGACGGCCCTCACCCTGCCTGCCCAGCTCTCTATCTCCGGCTGCACCCTGAGCAAATACTGCATCCTTGCGGCGTCGTTGATGATCATCGTCGCGGCGAAGTTGCTCGCTGTGACAAACGCCTTTTGCGCCGCGCGTTGCCCCTCCGCCTTCTGTCGCTCGCAGGACCCGGGAAATGCAGAGCTACCCGGTGGGTAGAAGGGCGCTGACAACGGGTCGAGGCCAAGCAGCTGGAAGGGCGTCGGTGCGTTGTCCGGGTCGTCGGGCGTCATCGCGCGGAGGGCGAAAAGAGTCGCACATATCTTCACCGTAGAGGGCTTTGTCGATGCGAGGGGCTCTGGGACGGCGCGTTCGGCGATGCGGAGGTAAGCAATAGCCACCATGCCGATGCACACGTGTACGAGGGGGACGAACTGGAACACAGCCAGTCTGCGAAAGACGGGCGAGGCAGAGCCGCCCGGCTCCATGATTGCAAACTTTCCACCGGATTTGTCGACGGCGCCAGACCCCCTCTGTTCTTGTTTTGGTTGGCGACGGCTGGGTGGTGTTTGGTGTTCCTCTGTGCGGTGTGGAGCAGCCGTGGACGGGTTGGACAGGCAGTGGAATAGTGGTTGTTGATTAAGATGTGGGACCAGGCGTCGGGGCGACGGTTGCGGGTCCGGCGTAGGGCCTCGGCGCGGCTGCTGGCGTTCGCCGGGACGCTCGAAAGCACCATCGACGCACACGCGGCGCTCTGGGGCGCCGCCAAGGTCAACCAGGACCGGGAGGAGCGGGTAGAGAGCTTGCTATGCAACCTGGCCAAGGCATTCCAGGAGGCGATACTCGTCGGCGACCACAGGCTGGCGGAGGCGAAGAGGCTTACGAAAGCCAGACTAGAAGGGAATAGAGAGGGATCGCGGTCCCACGCCTACGTCTACGTCCGAGAGTGGGGGATTCGGCTGGATGAACATGACGACGACGTATTAACGGCTGACGGGTTGACCGACGTAACACACAAGATTCGGGGTATCGAGGCGACAGGCTCGATGCTGTGTATACAGGCGCAAGAGACTAGCAAGGAGTTACGCTGGCGACGGAGCGCCTCAGCCGACCTCGAAAAGGGGCTGAGTGGGCAGCGAGCCACACTGGGGATCCTGATCAAGAAAAACGAGGCGGGTGAGGCGGACGAAGACGGTGGCGACCCCATCGGCATCGAACGAGAGCTGTTGAGGTTGGCGGAGCGATTCACCGGGGGCTTGGAGCAAGCTTACTTTGAATGAGGGTGTAGGTGTTTGCCGTGCCCTGGTTAGAGGGACGGGGTGACGTGAGGTCCAGGCTGGTAATTGGTAGGCTACTTACTAATTACTCATAGGATTCGGGACTATTGAATGAAAAGACAATATGGGGGGGGGGGGGTTGGGTTTGTTAGGTTGTCACCACAGCCAATGGCCGTGAACCCGGGGGGATTGGACATGGAACCGGGCGTGGGATGATACCGGTCTGTTAGCGGCGGACGGGAGAAGAGGTAGTGCTGTAATGTAAGACGAGGTGAAGTGGCGTACTCCAAACCGGACAGCCTCTTGTTCTAACAAGGTGTTGGAAAGGAAAATGCGCGCTGAAAGAGTGATTGAATTGGCAGATGAGATCATGAGGATGGCCAAATGTGAACACTGAAGGGCCTTCCTTCGGTTGGCGAGACGAGAGCGTGGCAACTTCTTGGCTGGCTTGGTCTGTTCTAGGCTGAGTCTATCTTACTTACTTGAGCAAGGCAAGCTGTGGAATATCATGACACGTCAGACAAGCTCATAGGGCATTGGTGAATACATCTTCATATTGATGCAAACCAAGGCACATCGTCCCCGACGTGACATGCGCCGAGCGGCACGGACCGTGCACCGGCCGGCCTCGATAGCGGGTGCCGATAATGTCTCTCGTCCTCCCTCCGTCCACCAGGCACCCGCTTTCGTTCCGCTTCGCCCGGTTCCCCTCTGGGCCATGGTGGTATCCCATAGAAATGTGTACGATTGGGTGCGGTAATCCATTGTGGTGATGGCACCGTGACGGCTCCGACGAAACTGGCTGCGGACTTGGTCGGTATACGGGAGGAGTCGACGTAGAGGGTGAAGCAGCGCTCGTGGCCGGGGTTTGGATATTCGAGCAACACGGCCTCCTCGGATTCTTTCAGTGGCATCGGCTCCGGCTACAGCGGTGGTCGGAGCTCGGCCGGGCGCAGGCGGTGAGGGCGATAACACGGGTTGAATACCGGCCACGCGGCGACGTGGGTTGGCATTCGCATCCTGCAGAGTCGGGACGACGAGCATTGAGGTGACACGCGGCTCTGAACGTTCTTCGCAAGGCACCAGCGGCAATGACGGTTCGAAACGAGCGAGAAAGAAGGGAGATCAACTCGCGTGGCCCGGTGGACACGGCTGCGACGGTTGCGACGGTCGCGGCTTGTGGGAGGGACGTGAGGCTGACGAGCTGGGGCGCCGCGTGCGGAGGGATGGGGCAGCCCGCGCCGATCGTGAAGGCAGGGAAAGGAAAGGCAGCAAGTCCTCATCACGAGATGTTGCTTTGCTCCGTTTAGTCGAGGGAAGAAGTGAAAACATGCGAGGGAAAAAGAGTCGAAGACGAGATAGTCCAGGGAAGGGCCAGGGGCGAGCGGACGGCCCTTCTGGACAGCAGCTGCAAACTGGGAGTTGACGTCAACGGAAGGCGCACGCATGGCAGCGGCAGCGTTTAGTGCCAAAATCACGACCTACATCCCCCGAACGAACCTCTTCCCCCTTGACAAAAGTGCAGCCCGGGGGGACCCGTCATCGCACCTTTCTTTCTTTGCCTTGCTCCCCTCTTGCACATACCATCAAGTTCGCCTCGTCCAGTCGCAATTCTCCGTGCTCTCCGTGGTACCCAGTGGCGGCCACAACCGCCGTTGCGACCATGATGACAAACTCACCGCCGCAGGGAGCATGGGTACGAGTTTTCCCTTGGCTAATGCCCACCGCCGTGGACATCAGCCCTCGCCGCCCTCGCCGCCCTCGCCGCCTTTGGGGCCATGTCCCGAGTCCCCCGTTGCTTCTTTTTACGCAGCCCATTCTCTATCTGTCCATTGCAGGTTGTTTGAACAGACAGCTGGGACCTCTTCTGTGACGTTGCCTTGGACCAACAGTATACGACCCCTTTCTGCTCGCCTTCCATGGCCCCGTCGAGCTGTGCAATATCTACGTCCTACGGGTTTGTGTTACTTCTGGCAATGTAGCACAGGGTGTGGCCGCTCTTCTCTGCTCGTTAGCCTACACGTTCGGCGTTTGGCTGTGAGCTGCGTTGGCCGCCACAGGACTCTCGCCGCCAAGGTGGGCTGCAATGATGTGCAATAACATGCAGCTCGTAGCGAGGCGCACAGGTCGCGTGAGAGAATGGAGCCGGGCGAGGCCTGGCGGTGTCCAAGTAACAGTCTTGTACTGTGAGGTGCTGACGAGGTATTGGCAGAATGTTTAATAACATACTATGAATGCCGTAACGGGCATATTTAAACAATCTGCAATCTGTCTGGAGTGTCCTCAGGGGTTCAGTTAGTACCATGTACGGTAAGACGTTGAGGAGAAAGTCTGCTAATTGCCTGAAACACAACTAATGGCGGCCAACACCTCCGAGTTCCGTGGCAGCATAGCTTTGTATCCGTCGTTTGTCGGGCCTCGGGTTCGGCTGGAGTTTCTACTGCTACCTCCACCTTAATCTCCGGTGAGAATTTCATTGGGGGTTCAAGTTCTGTCTTCGAGGCCAAGTGTGGTGTTGGTTGTGGCGAGTCACTTGGGGGTGTTGCATCGTTCTTTGGAATAATCGATGATTACGGCGGATAGGACACGAGACTCAGCATACTTCACAGAAACGGAGTTCTCGTAGCAGATGCAAACCGGGCTCTTAGCTAAAGTCTTCGAGTATGTTAGGTAATCAGGGAGGACACACGGGTATCTATAAGTTTGACCAAGCGTGGTCAGACTAAACAGACACCTCATGAACAATTTATCACGATTTGGCGAGTCTTTTGATCAGAATCCAAGCGTGACTACGACTGACCTAGTTGGCCTAGGAGGTTAGATTGCCTCTTTCAGATCAACCCTCCCGTATAATTCTTCTCCCTCTTCGGTTAGACAACTACGGCAGCGCTTGTTAGTCTGCTCGGTTCACAGGAGTTGAAGTCTCGAGTTGTCAAGATTGATCAGGCTACATTATTTCAAATTCGCGAGGTCATGAGCATAGGCGATTGGGAGCTGGGGGTCCGGGGTCGGCCGGAGGTTCGTGGGCATGGACTGAGCTGTTATTGCAGGCCAAGAGCAGACTATCTTCCGCTTCCGAGACTTCCAAATCTCAGCATTTCCTCGCTACCCGCACCGTCAAAGAACGTGTTATATAATGGAAAGTCCGGCTAGGAGGGATACCACGGCGTCGTCAACCACACACTCCTGTTGGTCATTCTTATCGACCCGAGGCAAGTAGAAGTTGCAGGTTCCTTGCTGACAAACATAGTGAAGTCCACCCGATGGATTTCGTTCACGACCGGCAACTTGCATCCTGCTGGGGTGACCACAGTAGCAATCAGGGTTGCTTGGGTGGCAACCTCGGCGATCCGCAAAACAGTAGAATTTGTCGCAAAAGCAGCATTTGTAGTACGGTCTTCCGGCGTTGCCTTTACGGTTGGACGATCTTGTGATGTGCCGGGTACTAAGCGCTCCACATAACCGACATATCGGAGGCGAGGTATTATCCAGTGCAGGTGGTGGAACTCGGCGAATTCTGGTCATACTGAATTTCGTGCTCGGTGGAGTACCGTGACCTACATCGTTAGCTTGGGGGCAAAACGACAGGAGACTGATCATACCTCAACTATGACACGCTGATTTCAAATCTTAGTAAGAGATATACAGATGATCCAAACATACGAGGGCATCGGTGAGTATGCCGTTTAAGTACTCTGCGGAGTTGTGGGGAGTCTCTTACTTTACTTTCTAGGGTTTCAATGTTGCACTAAGAGAGTTTACCCCTTGAGGTAATTCAAGCTTTGAGTCTAAATGTCTAAATTCGTTTCAACAACAGAGTTTATTTCTTGGTGTGATTCAAAGCCTGGGGGCTTGCTTGTAACGGTGCATCTGGCACCGAGACTTTAGCTCCTTAGTCTGTATAAATGCCTCTGAGTCAAAAACTGCTCTAACTTATAGAGGAGACAGCGGGTGCTAAGAGAAAGAATTTTATGTTGTGGGTGTAAGGATCTTTCGTGTTTTTCGTCAGCATTATATCAGAGCAGATTGATGCTTCAGCTCAGTGTTTCAGTCAGTAGGACAATTCCAGACGCATTAATGATATTATGTGCTGCTCCTAAACTATCCTTGGGGTTGCTTATTTCCAGTCCTTACATCGTTTAATAGTTACGCAATGCTCCAGAATCTCGTCCACAGGCTTTTCTATATCTATGTTTGCGGACAGTGCACAACAGGTTAACTGAAGGCAGGTGAACCGTAATCCGGGCATGCTGAAAGCAGATACTAGTATTAGCAGACTTGTAACCTTAGTATAGACTTTAATTATAAGCGCATAGTTATAGCTAATAGAAATGTTTTTATCGATAGGTTGTCATCAGTAGGGTTGTCGTCAGCCTGGTTGTCATCAGAAGAGCAGGGACGTCAGCCCCAGTGCATAAAGCTAGATAAGGTGTAAGCAAAATGAGTGAACCGATGGAATTCCCAAAGAGATAACCTAGGATGCCACAGCATTACGGATATGAAGCGCCTATTTCTAGGAGGGGAACTAGAATGGCTCTGATGAACTTTCCTTCTTAGATACAACCCAGACTTGCCAGCGACATCTAGTATAAACCACGATCATCAACATAAACTTCTTCGAGCATAAAAAAGTTTCATAGATAACTGTTTTTGTCTATAAGCCAGCCAATAGTCCGCAGTTAACACCAGCTATCAATCATATAAAACCTCAACATACTAGAACTAGTATTTCATCACTAGACACCACCGCTATTATATTCGCATTAGAAAGAAACAGCCGGCATCTTCATTTAACGATCACACATATTGATAAAAATTTAAAGCGTCTCGTTCGTCACCTTACGAAACGAACCTTAATACATATACTTCATCTAAGCATATTTAAAAAACGTAAGGCTCAAATATAGACTCGACGTCTTCATAAATATGGAAAAGAAATCAGTACAACCCCGACGTTAAAACTCCCAGCTAAGTTCAAAACTATAAAGACGCAGTAGCGTTATATCACGAGGCGGTATTTCTCAGCGAAAGCTATTCAGGATTGCCTTCCGTTAGGAAAGGCTAACTTCTCCACTGGAGAAATAGAGTATATTGATGACAGCGACGATGGAGAAAGTCCTACCAAACGACCTAAAAGATCAAGTTTACGTGGGAGGAAGTAAAATATCTAGACTTCTGACTTTGTATTAGTAGCCAATCAGCTTCGAATTCATCCTTCTAATTCCCCCGCTGTTTACCCACCCTTTTACCGTTTGGCGATCTTCCTGTCGCTTACGCCTGGCTTACCTTGACTAAGCTACTTTCTGTATATTTCTGTTCTGATTTCTTCTGTTGCCTTTTTTAGTCCCTTATTGATGTGACTTACGTCAGTTGCTTGTTCTTGTTATTGGTCCTTCTCCGCCTCTGCCATTATTTCCTATGTCTACCTCTCGGCCTCCCGTGCTTTGCGATAGTACGTTATCTCTTATTCTGTCTTTTTTGTCTTTACTGATTAATTCTTCAGCCGGCGGTGACCTACTGGATCGGCTTGGCGTTGAAGGCTCCATGCGCACCAGCCGAACCATCGAGATTCTGTCCTGTTCCGCTGTAGCCCGCGAGCTTATTCCTCGGAAACAGAGTAAACCGCTCACTTTAGCCTATGGATATCGCGTTATCGCTACATTGGTACAGGCTACCGGCGTTGAGCGTCGTCCCCCGTGCGACCGATGCGCCCGCGCGAATGGGCCCTGGAAACAATGTGTGGTATTGCAGTCCCCTGAGGGTATACGGACTACGAAAGGGCGGCTGTGCTAACTGTTGGTGGAACAACACGAGTGCCACTGTACGTCTGCCTTATCCCGTTCTCCCTCCCACCCTATATTGACTATCGATACATCTATCTAATCTTAAACACAACAAAAATAAAGATCCATAGCTACAATGCCAATATCCCTTATTGCAACAGAGTGTTAGATAGACGATATCAATTCGATGCAATACACCTGGTGTTCGTTGATCAAAGAGCATTGTTGTATTTGATTGAGGAACTCTCGCCATCCCGATCAAAGCGGGACTCTGTCTTTAATCTATCCGTTCTCACCGGTTCTTGCATAATTATTGCAATAAATCGAATAAGCCTATTTTAGCTGTCGTTGTTTCAGACACAGGCGTCAATTCAACACAGAGAATCCAGCACAGGTTGGCTGCACGACTCAAATATGCAATGTCCAAGTCTAACGTTATAGCTGACAGCCCCGACTCGTCGGTCTATTGGCCCCAAGTCGAGCAGGGTGCACCTTCGCCATGAGACCTTTCACTCACGATGATCGCCATTGGCTAGATTGTGGCTGTTGTCAGCGACAGTGTGGCAGCCAGCTGGGCGTGCAATTAACAGATTGAGCAGAAGAGTGTATTCGTACTACTGAGGAGTAAAAGAGGTCAAAGTGGCCACTGTTGTGGCCAGCTAAATACGCATCTATCTAACCGAGGTCACATCTACCTCATGCAGGTAAGCAGCAAATTAGGCCTACCCCTGCATGGGTCTAATGGTGCGCTGTTTACAGCGATGTATGTGGATCTATCTCCAACAGCTGTCATGTCCCTAAAAAGAGACTTTCAGGTTTTCTGCTACTAAAAGTAGGCTAGTTAAATTATGTGTCTCTTGTTTTGCTACAGTGACAACTACTGTACAGTAAGTTTCACTTAAGCGAGGATATCCCTGGGTGCTCTCAGTGCTGAAGAATAGTAAGATATCACTGTTAGGTAAGTTAAACCTGGGTTTTAAGGCATTAATTTCACATACCCCGCTACCCCGCTACCTCTCATCACGTGAGATTGCCGTGAATGAAACTCGCATTTTCGAACATGACGTACAAAATGTGCATCCTTTTTCTGCCATCTATTGTTGACTTGTGAATAAAGAAACGTCCTGTACGAAGATAGCCTGCCCTCTTCATGAGCGACGACATACTCGATAAGAATATATTCACTCAGTATTTTGTTGTAGACTCGCTACGTCGAAAATGGATGACAGGTTTTGTTGGACGTTCCATCAGACGATGATGGGGATGATGGGGCAGCAGATTGGACCTCATCCAGATGATCTCTCGTTACACGGTTTTCAGATGATTTACGAGTCTTTTAAGCGGTTGTTCTGCAACGATTTTGAGGCTATGGTTGATTTGATGAATCCTATACCCGGCTGGGCCAAGTTCTGTATCAAAAAGTTTTGGCGTTGTGACAGAATGTCAGGCCCACATTGCATAACCGAGTCAAGCATCTCGACTATGCATCGGCTATTGTTTCTTAACCCAAATATGGCTTATTTGCATCTGTTTCATGTAGTGTAGCATATCTCGATGTATCTGGCCAATTGGCCACTTATCCTTTACAACAACATAGAAAATCAATCAAGACAGTTATGCCGTTACTCGCTGGTAGCCACGCTGTCGCCCTGACACAGAACCTGGGATACCCTCGCTTAGGTGAAACTCGCCGCATACAGTCATTACTCAGTTAACCACATAGTCGGGCCAGGATTGCCCTACAAGGGATAGAGGCCACTCGTTTATATAGATCTACTGCAGGCCCAGCAGACCACTCTAAGCAATACAACCAACTTTATCCCACATTCATTATGCCACTGCTGACCATACTGAAGATCTGTCACGTTGGTATCCCATCGGGTGCTGATGGACCCCATTTTGCCAAGACCATAGACCTCCACTTTTACTCCAAAAAGGCCGATGTAAAGGCATTCAATTGGGCAGATATTTAGAAATATTTCCAGTTAATACATCTAGTTGGCTCTATCTGCTCTTAACAAAACTGGGTGTGAGTTGGGGTAGATCCAATTGGATTTATTGTCTGGTAACAATTGCCCAATTAAATGCTGTTATATCCGTCTTTTTGGAGTAAAGATGGAGCCTTATGGTCTTGGCAAAATGGGGTCCATCAGCACTCGATGGGATAATCAACCTTCTAGCATATGGACTAGAGCAACAAAATGGCTATATTCATACCTTTGGTATGTGCTAGCATTTTTTGTTGTTGCTATCGTCGCCTGGTTGCTTTACAAAGCCTATCAACAAATGCCGAGAAAGAAAGGAATGGCGGTATAAATCCACAGGTGAATGAAGCCGTTGTGTTACGACCCAACATGCATAACCATAACCAAGGCCCGCCCCGCAGGCTGCGGCGGCTACGGTACGCCATATATGCAGACAGGACAAGGAACGTCAGTAGCCCCCCCTACGGATACGGAAGAACTATGGTACAGGTCACGTGAAGATAAGATAAACTGATCACACCCCGGACCCACTGATCGGTCAACGGAACACCAATGGACTTGTGAGATCCAGGCGACGGGATTGAGATCAGGACTTGTATATAAGATGGACTTGAGCTGGGCTCAAGGACAGACTTCCATAGCTCTTCAGTAGTTAACTTCGTATCAGGATTCACTTCCGCTTTCAGCTATCACCTTTGACAAGACTACGATTGATCACCGAAGCCTTACCCATCTACGATTGACAGATAGTAGCTTCCTTGAAGCTATCCGACAGAGACGTGTAATAATCAGTTGATTATTACATCCACCGACTTACGACACTGTTACTGAGTATCGCAGCCTCAACTTCTGCAAACATACCCCTACGACTAGCTGGCCGTAACATCCGGCTCAGGCCATCTCCTATAAAAAGAGAGGAGCTCCTTAATAAAGCTCTCAAATATCGTATTATTAATAATACTCTAAAAGATATATAAGCAGATAATACTATTTTACATATAAGGGAGCAAGACCTAGTACCGTCGGTCGCGATATAATCGAGCAACCTAAACTAGGGTTACTCCCAAAGGGGACCTTCCAGTCCGCCAGAAGCCCGCACGCTTATCGCACCCTAACTCGTCTATAAAGACTAAATAATAAGATCGGAAAGCTAATAACCCGTAGAGGTAAAAGTCCTATAGATCTATATTTTGCTCTTAAAAAATATATTAGGCTACTTTTTTACTTTATCTAGCTAAAGCTAAAATATAATTAATATTTAAAGCCGTTATTAAAATCTCGAATTTATTTTAAAGGAATATAATTATTTTATTTTAATAAAGGTTCGGTTTTTCGATTAACCGGTCGTATAAAGTACTTAATATAGGCGGTATAATAATCCTTAGGTATCCGGATCTATTAGAAGGAGCTTTTATATTCTTAAAATATTAAAGATTTACTTAAATATTACGTACCGTCTACGTACTATATCCTATAGCCTTTATTATATTATTATTAATAAATTTACCGGAAGATATTATATCCCGGATTAGCTTATATTATAATATAGTGATATTAGGTACTATAGTATAACTATTAGTATAAGATATCTTATTTATATTAATATATAATCGTACCTAGCAAGGTTATTAGCGGACTATTATAATTCTAAGGCCGATATATTTATAGATCGAGTAGTATTAAAATGAACCTACGCTTCGAGAGACCTTATCCGCAGTAGTACTTTTTCGGCAAGCCTATAGATTATAATCTTAAGTATATAAAAAGATACTTTAATAGTTTCCTATAGAAGAACTATAGTTATAGGGACCTAAACGAGGTGATCGAAGCTAGAATAAGTGGTAGATTAATATAAATTAGAAGTTTAGCGTTAAAGTAAATATCTTAGTACTATAGTTTTAGCGTAATCTAGTTTAAAGTAGAATTATGAGGTTAACCTTAAATATATAGTAATTAGCAGATAAAAGTATTAATATAGCTAATTCTATATATATAGATAAAGGGACGTAATAAAATAATATAAATCGTAGACTATATTTATTGCCGCCGTTTATAGATATTAGATTATATAATATAGGTCTAATCTACGAACATAGTATAAAAGCAATTTCTATCTTCGGCTATAGGGGTTATCAAGAAGGTACCTCCGGGGCCTTATCATATATCCTATCAGCAACCGGGTCCACAAACATCTGTGCGCAGAATAATCCTTATCCGCAAGGACGGAAACCGATTTCAATTTCTACTGTACAGGGGCCGCTGTGAACTCTGTAAACAGGCTGATGGTCCTTTTTCTCGTTGTTTTTTGGCAGGGACTTGCGCACAGGTGAACCTATTCGTGCCCGCACCCACTTATTTTGGCACTTGCAAAACTCCCACCCACTACTGTGATAGAGACGGCTTGGTTGGTGACAGATCTTCAGTATGGTCAGCAGTGGCATAATGGATGGGGATGAGTATGGTTGTATTGCTTGAGTGATCTGCTGGGCCTGCAGTATAGACGACGCTTTGATACGCCCTGGCCGCGTCGACAAGAAAATCGAGTTTCAGCTGGCTGACTCTGATGTAATTAGAATGCTTTTCTGCACTGTGTTTGAAAAGACAGAAGAGGAGCTGCCTAATGCGGATAGCCGAGACAAGCACAACAAGGAAGTTCGGGGGCTGGCAGTTCAGTTTGCGGCCGTGATCCCGGAGCTGGAGTTTAGCCCTGCTAATATTCTTTCTTTTCTCCTAGCAAACAGGGGCTCTCCGTCGAATGCCATGACTGATGCGGAGAGGTGGGTGTCTCACGTCAAAGGGTGGGATGCTGCGAAGAGGTAATCCAGGGTTTCAGAGTAACCGACTGCAGAGCGAATTGTATGCTACTGTGCATCTACACTCCTCCAGTAGTCTTGGGTTAAAATCCTCATCCCTCGTTGAATATACTGTATCATCCACTGATCTGTGTGAGGGTCACGGCTGTAGAGAGAAGGTTTGAAGAAGTAGATGGATTGTGATAACCCGTACGGTTAGATCTAGATATAAGACGTAACGCGAAGAAGAGGAAAGAGAGATCGCGCTGTGCGGCGCTGTGCGAGCAGCGCGTCGCCGCAAGACAAGGGGTCGTGGCTTTGCTATGACTCGCGATACCCTTGACACCACCCTGGCACGCAATCCCGTGACACTCGATCCCGTGGCAGTTCGTACCTAACCTATCCAGCTGTCTTAGTTAAGCAGCCATTCTTCCTGTCACCATAGGAATGTTATAGGACTTCCGGTCAACCAACTCGTTAAAGGCACCGAATCCTCTCTGTCACCACGTGATGTCCAGACGAAGCAAGTAACAACTTATTGGTCGAGAGTGGGCTGTATCAGGAGCCTGGGAACACGAACACATAATTAAGTCACGCGGCCTTCGCGAGGACAAGTACAGGTTCCGAGCAGATGCCTAGTTGATATGCCGGCGCCTACCATGGCTATGGAAAGCCAGACTTGATTATTCCCTGCACCACTCCTTGCTGACCCGTCACAGTATCCTACAGAGTGGGTACGAGTGAATGGCGCGCGCGCCAAAAGTGACAGCCACCTATATGCGTGAGGTCGAATGCCCAGAATGTCAGGAAGTGGGGTGAAGTGCGGGGTAGATTACAGTTATGCTATCCACATTAGTTTCTTGTCAGCATGGGCACAAGGCCAGCAAAAAGTCTGGACCATACATCTTGGACGCCAACGTCGACCTCTTCAGGCGCTCAGGAGGCCAAGACAGTTGCAAAAGAGAGTACTCGACAAGAAAAAAAAACCAAGAGGAAGCCAGCCACAAATGAGCAGGATATGATACGCTCATGTACGGCGCGACCAAGACTCCGCTGCGAAATGGTTGTTTGTTCCTAGCTTGTCGAATGTTTGGTTGATTCATTGGTGCTTGACAAGCCTGCGCCAATGACTTGTCTTTCTAGTGCTGCAAGTCTATATACAGGAAGTGAAGGCTTCACATCGGCAGTGAATTTCCCTAGCCTGGTTGTGGGGCCATCTCCCTGGTCGCGGCGCAGCACTGATTACCACGTATGTGCATGTTCAGTCTGCCTAGAAGTGAGAATCAGTGACTGCTGCCTAGAATTCCCCCCCAAACTTGCAATTGCAAGAGGCACGTAATAGCCGATGATCTTTGCCTTGTAGGCCAAAGCACATGGACCGGGAAGGATCCAAATTGTGTGAAGGGTCTTTCGATGTCGTGGATGACCACAAGTTGGCTGCAGGGTACTTCAAACATTCTGATGCACCGGGCTCTGATTGCGGTGCATCGTAGCATTGTGCCGCGAAGGCGCGGAGGGTCGAACGTGGCCTATCACATCTACAGGAAGCTGGAAAGTTGGCCGTATTGAACTCATGTCCCTAAGCAAGCCACCCAGCGAACAAGTGAACGGCCATGTTCGGTCGGCGCACGGACAATATCACAGGCAATCACTCAGTCTCAGTCGCCGTCTTTGGTCCATATCACCCGGGTACTCTGCAAGCGTCCTCGCCCTTGATGGGGCGCGGTAAAAAGCTAGTTTTAGGCGCCGCGTGGCCGTTTCCGCAAGATCTCCAAGAACTAAATATTTCAAGGAATCTCTAGAAAGCTGCTTGTGAAAAGCCTGGTATCTTACTTCGGTCGTATCCCTGAGGGAGAACTGTGCGGATGTGTGATCGAAGGCCAGCCTTAGGAACTTAGGAGGCCTTGCCTGAGCCCTGTTGTGGTGGCCCCCTTGCACCAACAAACACTTCTACATTACGCATAGCCCTTGCCATACCCTGTCAGACTACTGTAACAACTCGTATTGGGCGTTGGTTGGAAAAGATTTCCAGCGGCTAAAAAAATGAATTCTGACATAAGTGGTACTTGACTGGGTTCAAGAAACATGTTGGATGTGCACCCGCATCAGCACGCCTGCACTCAGCCAGAACAGGTCAAACTCCGCACAGTTAACAAAGGCCTGGAATTTCAATTATTGACGGTCAGTCAATTGCTGAGCGTTGAAAGAAGGCTCTGTCCAACACACTAATTACATGACGCAGCTTATTCGGTGCCCTTATGGGAGATGGAAGGTCACTAATGGCACGTCGAAAAGCGTATAAAAGCCTGGCCGCAGACCTGATGAGATGAAACGAATCCTTCCTGACTTGACATTCATCCATTTGGCTGCCAAATACTTCCAATAGAGAGCTTATCGACGTCGTCTTCGTCAGCTTTATACGGGATTCATTTTGTTCCCGTCTATCCCAGCCATCCTCTACCACACCGGCCTAACCTTGATTAAGTCACACTTCGAGGTGAGATTTCAACATGTCCATTAAATTGTGGTCAAAGGATGAAACGCTAAATGATTCACGCTTGCGAACTTTTAGTCAAAATGCCTGCAGGATCCAAAAGCGCCTACACAACTTGTGCAACCATGGGGTGCGATGGAGCCAATATCGGGCGTGGGCAGGCATGCCCCAAGGGGTGTGGCTGGACACGTCCTGCAAATGACGGACAGTGAATGACTTGGTGTAACTGAGTAAAAGACGGGTGACCCATATGTTTGTCAGGCAGCCCGGGGTGCTGGTAGTACAACCAGACCGTTGAATGCGTACCGTGTTTTGTGTCAAACCAGCATAGGATTAGTATATACAGAAAATCATTATCTAACGAGTGGACCTGGTGTCTGCCTCACAACCAACCAACGAAGCAGCGCTTGTTTCCAAGGAACAAAGCCATCGTAGTTTTGAGTCGCACTTCTAAATATAGACAATTCTGCTGGTACACCGCCATAGTTTGTTGATCCTGACTGCTGTTATTTGCACCTCAAGTGCGTGCGCTTACGCACGCTCTCATTGGACAGTTTATCTGTCTGTCCACACTCTCCAATTGAAATATGCAGATGATCATCGCTGTAGCCCCCTGGAGGGGTTCAGCCCTTGACAATCGCCTCCTATATAGACCCGATCAGCCCTCCTCTACCACCTCAGTCGCTAGATCTGTGAAGCATACCATCGACTTCTTTCGAAGCTGGCTGCCCATGGCTACACACTCAACCTCCTGGACAACAGTTCAGGATTTTCTTCAGAACAGTGATCAACAAGCTATCGCTTGTTTCAAACAAGTCAATTGGGATCAGCTGTGTCGAATAGCCTCTGATGCCAACCGCGGCTTAGAATGTGTAACCCTGGACCAGATAACGAGCGGACTCAACAACGTCGTCCGTCAACTTCAGTTCTCCGATAAAACTTGTTGGGCAGCCCGAATTCCCATCATACGAAGCGAATCCTCATATTCCCACGGAAAAAATCTGAAAAATGAAATTGCAACAATGCAGTTCATTCAAGAGAATTCCAGCTTACGGGTACCACGAGTCTTCGCCCACAACACAGACATGAATAATGTTGTAAATGATGTGTTCATGCTGATTGAGATACTCCCCGGTATTGTTGCTATGGATGCTCTCGGCGGTCACAAAGTACATGGTGGTGTGATACCTGTAGAGTACCGAAAAACTTTCTATCGATCTGTCGCTGAGTGTCATGTTCGTTCCTGGGCACCCACCTTTTTGACCTGACTGTATAGCAACTTACTGTTGTAGGTCCAGATGACGTCATTGCGACTCCCAAAAATTGGAGCTATTACACGAAGGGAGGACGGCGGGTACGACTCGGGCCCTATTCCGGGGATCGGCGGTCCGTTCGATACAGCGGCGGCCTTTTTTGAGGCATGGGCCGACAAGGCCAAGTTCAAGCTCGACAAGGAAACAATTACCCAAATGATGCAGAGAGGCCCAATTTCGGCGGAAGAGATGGTCAGAATCACCGACGAATTCCCTCCGCAGATCAAAAGCATGGCCAACCTACTTCCTTTCCGCAACGAGGGACCATTTCCTCTGTGCCACGATGATTTCCTTCACAGCAACATCATGGTCGACGAAGCCAGCTTTAACGTGACAGGAATCATTGATTGGGAGGGGGCATGCACGGTCCCTTGGGGACTCGTCACATACCCCGAGTTCATTCAAGTCATGCCTCGGGCGTTTGACTTACCCCAACATTACGACCAAGATGGGTACCCCCTGAAGGAAAGCGTGAGAGAAAAATGGTGCGAGCAGCGAGACTATGTTGAGATGGTGAAGTCAGTGGAGGGTGAAGATAACCTGCTCTCAACCTCTCTCAGTAACAACTTGAACCAGGCTTTAGCCTACTCGTATGGAGCGTTTACTACTGGAAAACTGGGGTTCTATGACAGAGTCGTAACAGAGTTGAAAAAGGGCACTGAAGTTTAGTAACCTGATCGATCTCGCTTCAAATCAGTCATGGTAGGGTTTTCTCAACATTTTTCAAAGGAAACATTGCTCGAAGCCGAAATTGGTATTCATAATCGCGCCTAAAGTCTTCACCCGGTCCTTGGAGCGGACGATGTCCCCTTTGATACTGACAGTGAACGAATCCTGCAGTTTGTCGCCAATTCCGCGTGAGGAGTAATATGACAGCTGTCTTGTCTGCTTCGAAAGTCGCCCCGCTTCTTCGTTGTCAGAGGGCGGATGCACAGAGCGATAAGCGAACGCGCTGCAAACAAGTGGTGATAGGTCTAGTATGGTCATGAAGCTGAAATCGCCCTTCCTCTGCTCCTTCTCCGCTTGTGCGCTTTTCTTCGGCGCTCCTTTGTTTCGCCAAAGCCACTTGTGTGCTGCGTGCCCTACCCGGGTTTTACCCGGTTCTGCTTAGTCATATGCCCCTAACATTCGTTCTCAGTCAAGTGCCGCTCTACAGTTTATATCCAGGCCAATCGCCAGCACTCTGAGGTCCGCTCCCTGTCTCAAGCCGGACCACCTCAGGGTTCATCGCTGTCCCCTGTTCAGTTTCTTTTCATTAACGCCGAATAGATCTAGCACCAAATAGATGAAAATGAGACTCGAGAGAGCCGGCCGACGAAGCTGGCCGGGCCGTTGTATTGACGCGGACACAAAGGGTTGTCACCACCCTATTAGGTCTACTATCGCTTGCTGTACATCACGTCGTTCTAGATAATCTATTTGCCTCGGTGAATTTATTCCCGGCTCTTCGGAAGCAAAATTATCGGGGCCATGGGGACTTATGGGATAGTCCTTTCCCTACTCATCGTACATCCACATTGACCCCTGCCTGCGCGCGGCTCAATACCGAGAAAAATGCACTTTCTTGAGTACGCGCTTATGGGTGTCGAACGCTGCACTCTTTAACAAAATATGAATTACAATAACTAGCCAAGACTTCGCGCAAATCATTGAAAATTACTTCCCAGACAACCAAACCGCTTTCGAAAGTCAGCTTTCTGTGCAAGTAGTGCAAAACGTCATGCCCAAGCCTTCCGACTCTCCTCGTACGCTGGCAAAGCCCACCTCTTCATCCAAGCCATGTTTAACACATCCGCTGCATTTGGCCGCTCTCTAGGCCTCCATGCGAGCATCCAGTGTAGCAGCTCAAACAGCGCGGCCTTCTCTTCTTCATCAATAACACTCATACCACAAGACTGCCTCGGCTCTTGTACCCATTGCTCGAAACGCCTATCCCACGTCCATATGTCACGCTTATTACTGAGCGGTTTCCACGCTTCGTCGAACCATTTGAACCGCTGTTCCCATTTATTCCACCACTCCGACGGCAGAGGTCCTTGTAAATGGACCTGCTGTGCCGTGATTTCGTCCTGAGGCGTAAGAATTCCGTCGATAAGAGACCTGTGAGCAAGTAACTCGAAGATAGTACAGCCGAGGCTCCATATATCTGACGCAAAGGAGAGAGGCGTCGTCGGTTCAAAGAACGCCTCGGGCGGACGGATTACGAGGGGTGTATACGATTTAAACCGCGACTTATCTGACGGGCGAAAGGCGACACCGAAGTCGCTAAGTAATAGCTTTGCCTCCTTTATGGTGATTTCATCACTTGCTTTTCCAAGCCACACAGTAGGGACAGCGTATGAAGGAACCCCAGCTGCTGAAGAGGTTGAGTTTTTGTCAAGACGGACGACAGGCTCTGGCTGTGGAGCTCCAAACTTAGCATACAACTGATCCACTGAGAGATCGTTGAGAGAAGGAGGTAGCTGAAGAAGAAGGTTGCCAAGATGAAGGTCTAGGGGAGGACGTTGTCATTATCAGAGAGGTGGCAATGAGGATGAGAACCACGTACCTCCATGGGCATAACCCTGCGAGTGAACAAGAGAAATGGCTATGGCAAGCTGGGCAGCTAGAGACCGAGCAACATCAAGCTCAAATAGTCTCGGGTCTGACGCCTCTTTCGCATCCATAAGACTGCATCTCGCCGGGACTGTTGCAAAACAAGGGTGAGTCCCATTGGGGCCATCAAGACTAAAGCGATTGATGACCGTAGGGATCATCGACGCCTTGTGGGCGGCGTGGCTGCGGTCCGCGACTCCTGTAGTAAGCCGAGATAGAATATCTACCTCCCGCGTGTCTGCATCTGCGGTGCCAACTTTAACGGCGACGTAATTCGACGTCCCTTCGTCAAGAGCAAGCCAGACCGTCGAGAACGTGCCATGGCCAAGCTTGTGTACTATGCGGTATCGCTTGTGAAGACGATCGTCGATTTGAATGGGATGATAACCACCCGGCCGATAGTTGTTGAGTCTTTCCACGTTTTCAATATACCCATAATCAAACTCTGAGGCTGACATCATCGAGTAGGGCAAAGTTGAGAAGATGCGAGATTTTCGCGTTGAAAACGGAGAACTTGATTGACACGGTCGTCGCGGAAACACGCGTCGCAGTAGGGTCTGCCGGGAGTACCAGCGTTTCATCTGTGGCCTCGTGTGCAGGCTGGAAGAAAATATGCTGCTGATGAGATGATTGCGGAAAAGTATAAATCTTGTAAACATAGTAGATGGGGGAGGAGCCTAGGTAGTGAGCAGTTCACGTAGCTGATGGCGGTGATGTCAGACTCGTCAGTGGGTGGTGCTTCTTTTGTTTGAGTGATATTGCTGAGCACAGGAGTAGGCGCTAAAGAGGGGTTCATTTCCCGACGCAACCACTAACTAGTCCGCCCCTAGGTTGTGGATTAGACGCCCCGAAGCGCCGCCCCTTCGACCCCGCCATGACCAGCTACCCCAAATCGCTCCAATGACTGACTTCCAGGAGCTGCGGCCAGCAATGTGCTTGACAACAGGAAGTTGGCGGATGACCTATCAAAATAAAACGCCTTCACCATAAACGCCTCGAAACTTTCTCGGTGCTGACCGCCAACAAACTGTTAGGCGCGGTATTGAGTAGTCTAATTTCCTTGACGCCAGTTCATAACGATCTTATAAAGGATAGTGAAAACGCCCGAATCAACACGACAGCTGTTATATATCATCACACCAACTTGCGCCAGTCTACCATCAACATCGTAGTATTGCCATCTTGCACTATGTCTACCATCAAGAAATCGAAATCGGTTTCCTTGTCCATAAATAGGAACTCTTCTATGCATAGATATTTGTGGATCCGTTTGCTGATAGCGTATATGGCAAGGCCCCGACGGTACCTTCTTAATGACCTCCATAGCTGAAGTCAGAAACTGCTTTCACACTGTGTTCGTGGATTATACAGATGTTGCATGGTCCAACATCCACAAACGACGATAGTAAATGCAGTCTCGACAGTATGCAACACGGGGCTAAACTAAGAACAAAGTAAAGAAGCGATTCTGGCTTTATTATGGAGGTCATCGATGAATGTACATCATGGGTCTCTTTATATATCCTATCAGGAAAAGGGATCCACACATGCCTGTGTATAGAATAATATGTGTCCGCAAAAACGGAAACTAAATTCGATTTCTACTATATTACTTCCTCTTTTATAAATATTACTAATATTTAAGAAGCTGGAAATTGCTTAGTTAGACCTTTATAGACCTTTAGGAATGGCTGTAGCGGCTGGTTTGTAAATAAAAATATGCGGTCGGGGTAGTATTCGACAGTGTGAGTAGTAGCGCGTAATTAAAAGCTACTTAAAAGTATCTATAACCGGCTTTAAAAGCGGTTATTTTCCTCATAGTAATCATAGTGATATGTATATAGTAAGAAAGAGTTTAAGCCTGGCCTGTATAGGTTAAGTTTAGAAAGGTGGAGTGTGTTGTAAAGAGGAAGTAATATATAATCTATACTATAGCAATGTAAATTATATTATTATAGTACTGTATCTTTTATTATTATTTAATGTCTTTTTACTTACCGTACGGCCGGTAAGTATATTTATTATAGGGTAATCATTAGAGCATACCTTAGTCTAGTAATAAACTAAGCCGCTTACGTCCTAGAAAGGTACCAGCAGCTTTTATCGGCCCCGGATACTTACTATACTAAAAGCATTTACTTTCACCGACTTTTTCTTCTAGATCCTTAAAATGGGATAGTTGACCTTATAGGTCAAGAACTGCTATAGGTAGAATATAGCCCAGAATTATCCCGTTTATAGATTTTATATCTATTCTATATACTGGTACCCAGTTCATATTTATTGATAGACTGTATATAATCATTGCTTTGTAAGAGGCTATAGGCGGTTAAAGAGGCATAAGACCGTCGCTAGGACTGTTATATGGGGCATACGCAACACCTGCCGATTGCGCGTTTTCGGTAGCGAAGTGTATTTCATACAGAATATTCGACAATGTCTAGTTACAACAGCATTCCTACCTGTAGTTGCATACGATGTAACCCGCATACGGTATGCCTGGCCGGCTATACATCCGTGCCGGCGTACCCGATGTGCTGCCAGCCTGTTCCGCTACGGCACCAGGACACTTCTGAGTTTCGAGACCTCTTTGGCGGCTCCGAAACTAATGCCTCGCCTCCTCTATTAGATTTACAACTCGACTTTGGGGGATCGGAGTTACTTGACTCCATCCCGCTCCTGGAGGGGAACATAATGACAGCGGGAGAACTGGGGAAGGTGACTGAGTCTCTGGCGGAGGTCCTGGCGAGACTAGAATCAATAGAAAGACGGTCCGTATCCATTCTTTCTCCTCTCTATCTTTCTGCTTACATAGCTAGGCAGGCTTTCACTACTAGCAGAAAACGCAGACACCAAAATGGTGCCGCCAGAGGCATCAACGAGTTATTGAGCAGCGATTACAATAAAGATGACCCGAAAGAGCAGGGGAAGGGAAAGGGATCGTGAGAGGGGTTACTATATTTAGGTTAGCAGGGCGCTCAGAAGGAGATGGGACACTCAAGCTGGCCGGTCAAATGGTTCCGTCTAAAAATAATGTAGATAGTCGCCTTGAATTCGCCTACAAAAACCTAGCGGGAAGGCAGCGTGAAGTGGTCTATTTTTAGACGGCCAAGAGTTCCTAATCTCTATAAAGTGTATACGTGGCCATACGCAAAGAACTATCACATTAACCTGCTGCACTGTGCTCTATCACCCCAGTAGATAGCCACAATGAGAAGTCGTGAGGAGACCTGCTGGCTCAAGCTTCGTCAAAGAGGTGACAGCTTCGTCGGCTTCCCTTCGTGTCGGCTTTCCGATATACTTGACCGCAACCGCGGGCATCCAAGCCTGTTTTGCTGCATTGGCTCGTCTGGTAAGGATGAGGCCATGCGCTGGCTTACCACAGTACGATCAGGCAGACGAGACTTTGGAGATATCCATCTGCAACTAGACAAGGGGGCCAGGAGCATCCACACCGAGCGCCCGTTGCTCTTTGCTGACATCACCACATATGAGAATGCGTCCCTGCCTCTTTCAGACGCCGTTGGCGACTTTGTCGAGTGGCCCCTTGAGGGCTGTTCGTTGGTCCCGGTGACGGCCTACTCCGTCGTGCTGGGCGCGCTAACGGACGTCCTTTGTGTTTTCCTGTCTGATACGGAGGGCATGCGAGATCTGGTCAACATTGTTTCGTCGTGGACCAAGAACCCACTCAGCCTTCCCTTGCCTCTTCCTCGCCTTGTCGTCGTCGTCGAACGCGCTGCGCCTGGCGACTGTTCAGTATCGCAATCGGAAAGAGAGGTGGCGGGCGAGATCCGAAACATCTTGGGTCAGGCCCTTCCAGCCAAGTTCTCCGCTCTCAGCGTCCACTTCCTTTGTCAAGACAAAGACCTCGCGAGCGAACACCGGTACCGACGTCTACGTGATCTCTTAGTTGCCGAGTCGGACCGAGTGCGTGAGAAGCGGGTTCAGAGCCATGCACTCTTCCAAAGTCGCCATTTCACTACCTTGGCAGGAACCGCGTACAAGTCTTTCCGTGATAACCTCCCGGTCGATCTCGTACAAGCGTCCCGCGTCCGCATGCCTATACCCCACAAGATGCAACACCACATACAGCGTTTCCTGCACCGCTTTGGCGGTGATGAAGCCTCCCTTCGGACTTTCGCGCTCCCCTACCTATGCTCCGCCATGATGCTTGACGCCTTCCCGCCCGGGATGCATAGTACGTTTCGTCCTGCTTTGAGGAGCGTAAGCGCTTACGCGCATGTCTAGATTTCGCGCCGGAACAGGTATACCGTTCTTTGTATAAGCCCATCGTAGTCAGGGCGCTGCACGCTCTTCGTCTCCCCAGAACGCATGAGGCCCTTGTAGAGAGAATAGTTCGGAGACTCCACCCTCGCACAGGCTCACAGAGCAGAAGGTATCACCGTAAGTGCATGTTGGCCTACGCCAGACGCTGGAGGAACATCTTTAGCGACCGGGACTGCCTTGTCTGCCTCGCACGAGCGCCCGAGTATCCTCTCTCCTGCGGCCATGCCATCTGCGCCGTTGACGTTAGGCGTATGACGGAGTGCGGATTACTCCCGATCAACGCCTGTCCCCTCTGCGCGAGGCCGGTCAGGGAGTTCAAGTACAAGGGAAGGCCGAAGACGAAAGGCGTCAACGTTCTGAGCATCGATGGAGGGGGTATCCGCGGGATCATTCCCCTACAGATACTGCGACTCGTCGAGCAGAAGCTGTCATCGTATCTACCCGACTACCCGGTGCAGAATCATTTTGACCTCGCGGTGGGCACAAGCTCCGGTACGTGTCATACTTCGCACCCGCCCCGCAAAGAGATTAGACTACTCCGCTGACTCTCGCGTAGGTGGCCTCATCGTCCTCGGGGCTTTCTTGAAAGGTCTTTCTATGATGGATTGTATGAAGATGCTTCGGACTCTCTCTACTAAGGTCTTTCGCTGCCGCCTACCTTGGGTCCGCGGGTTCCAGGGGCCGATGCTCCGCCTCGCCATGGTCTACCTCTTTGGCTCCATCTATCCGTCCCGTACCATGGATACATTCCTACACTCGATATTCGGCGACAACACACTTTTCGGACACCACGACGCCCCCGTGCGTGGGGCCAAGGTCGCCGTGACCGCAACAGGCGTGCCAAAGGGGGGATTCGTCCTCACGAATTACAACGGAGCCGGATCGGACGACAAACGACATGGCTACAAGCATGTTCGCACCACGAGGCCGGCTGACCGTCTGAAGATTACCGATGCGTGAGTGGAATCGCCTCCCGGTGGTGGATAGTGAATGTTAACACGAGACTTGTTAATACTGACGACCTGCTCGACAGCGCGAGGGCGACTACGGCCGCTCCTGGGTCAGTCAACGAGAAAGCGCGGCACGGGCATAAGCCAAGTTCGCTGACAGGGACACAGGTTCTTCTTGCCGCATACCTTGCTGGGCATCGGAGAAGTTCAGGACGGCGCACTCTGCGGGCTGAACAATCCGGAGCAGCTTGCCGAACGCGAGAGCCGGTCACTGTGGCCCGGGAGCGGGAGGCCCGACGTACTCGTGTCGGCCGGCACCGGCTATGTGGACCCGCAGCCAAAATCGCCTCTCTCTCCAACGGGGTGGAAGCCGCCCCGTCGAGGCTTCAGCGTAACGAAGGCTCTAATCGGCTATGTATCAAGCCTTGCCCACGTCATAGGGTCCTTTCTCGACGGCGAGGTTGCTCATACTATGCGGGCGGACGAGCCCACATCACTGAAGCGACCCCACAAGTACTTCCGTTGCAACGTCAAGTTTGATGACCACGTGCCAGCTCTGGACGATGTGACGGCCATCGACAGGCTACGAGAGAGGACGGAATCCGCTTTCCGCGAGAGTCACCAGATAGGCGAGATATCCGCCGCCCTGCTGTCCACTATGTTTTACTTCGAGCTGATAGCGCGGCCTGTTAGAAACCGCAGTAGCGTTAGCTGCGTCGGGCGGATCGTGTGCCATCTAGATGCGGGCGAGGGACTTGACCACCTTATCACCTCCCTCAGGACTGCAAAAGCCGAGTTCTTTATTGCTGATCTTGCGGTTCCCGTTGGGCAGCACCGGCTTGACCATAGACGCTTCCGTTTCGAGCAGTCCGTCCACGTCGAGGTGCAGAATCTGGACGCGCAGTTCCCTATCTCCTTACGAACCGGCGGGCTCAGCCACGACCGCACGCCAGTTCCTATTAGTGCCTCACCGTTCACCTTACGAGGGCTTACGGACGCCCAGGGCTGGAATAATCATTTTGGCTGCGACGACTTTGGCCCGACTAGTCCAGCGCAGATTCGTAAACGAAGACTCCCAATGGCCATAGCCGGTGCATGGAAGAAGAGTCGACTCTCAGGCGTAATCTAGGTCTAAGGGATATTCGATCTATATTTATATATATATATATAGATTTATATATCTATATATCGTAGTTGTGTTAGCGATTTCTTATGGATGGAAGGCTAGTTGCATTGGATTCTGGAATTCTTGTAGAATCAATACGAATAACTATATAAGGGGAACTTAATCAAGGCCAAGTGTCTTCTCATCGAGTACATGTGGTACATTATACCAGAGATTCCACTTTGGAACAACGAGATTACGTAGTCCAGTCTAAATACTAGAAGACGTATACCTCGCTCATAGTACTATTTACGCCTTATACCTATTTGAGGTCTGGGGTCCTAAATAAAAGGGGGAGGTACGAGAGCGAGATCACGGGTATAATATAAAACCCAGGCTAATATCCATTCGATACTGGTCCCATACTCGCGCATTCCTGTTCTTCACGCGAGCTGCCAAAGTAACCTGGCCTCAGGTCGGGTTGAAAGCGCCGTCCCGCTCGTTCAGGTATAAATAGGGAGCCCTCCCATCATTGCGGACGTCTCAACACAACTTCCTTTCTACTCAAACGCCTCGATCCCCTGTCTATATTTACTATGGAACCTCTCGTCATGGCCGTTTTTGATCCCTCTACACGAAAGCCAAGGCTCGTTCCAATACCCATTCCCCAAACGACAACCGGGCCTATCGTAGCCAGCACTGTCTTCTCCTATACTCCAACCAACAGAAGCGTGTCCTCTACAGTGTCTCTTGGTGATTCCATCGAGCTCAAGCCGCCATTGCCCCTGATACCTGCTTCCTATCGTCAGTCGTCGTGCCATGATATAGGGGAAACCACGAACAAACAAGGTATGCGCCGGTAACTCGGAGTGTCAATCAGGCAATGCTAACATGGTAATAGACTCATCGAAACGCTTGTCTTCCTGCCTCTTGCAGAGGCGAGTCCGGTTCTCGAGGACACACGCTCAGTTTCGTCGTCGAAGCGAGTCCAGCAGGGCAACCCCTCTTGCCCGGACCCCGGGGCGGATCGCGTCCGAGGCCTCTCAAACCGGTGGAAATCGGGATTTGAAGACAAAAGAAACTATGGTTCTTCCGCTAAGAGGGAAGGCTACCGTGGCATCGGCTTCATCAGTTGGGAAATGTGCAAGGGGTTGATCGTCTACGGTGCGCCCAGGGAGATGGATGTCATAGCCGGTCACCAGTCACTACCACATCGCCATTGGTACAGGACTCTCACAAGGTGACATGTTATAGTTAGTTACAGAAAGCTTGAATTGCATTGTACGAGGTTGTTATATCACCGAACAAACGAGCTTGCTGCTGCAGGATCTGTGAAGGGTCGATGCAACTGCGGCTGGGAAATGACAAGGCGAGATGTCTTTAGAGTCGCAGATCTGTCCTCGGACACGGCGTCGGATCCATCAAGAGAGAGATCCTTGATGCAGATGATGCTCAAAGCGAGCTGCGTCGCCGAGAGCACACAGAGAAAGATCCATACCGCACGAGTGCTCTTCACAATGGCCGGAACGATCACATCTTCGAGGTCTTCCTTACCAGCACCGGTCGCTGCCTTCAGAGCCTGTGCTACCCTGGCAATGTTCCGAGCCCACGCAGCTGCGTACGGCCGATACACTTCGCTTGCTTCCACTACGCTCCTGAACACGTTTTGGACAACCACGCCGCCCACAGCGATGCCCATCGTCTGGCCCAGGGAGCGGAAGAAATTCGTCATGCTCGAGGCCGCGGATGCATCGGCGGCCGAGACAGAGGCCTGCGCGGCAAGGCTCAGGGTCGTAAACAGGACGCCTATGCCTGCGCCGGAGACTAGGGAGAGAGCGACACTCACAGCAACCGTCATCCGATCGGTCACCACCGTCAAGATGCCGGACCCGAGCGTGGTCGTGGCCCAACCTACCCATAGTAGGATGCGGTAGCGGCCCGTCTTGGAGACCAAGATACCCGAAGCAGCCGAAGCTAAGGCGGCGATGACGGTGTTCGGCAGTACGTAGAGGGCAGCCTGGGCAGCGCTGGCCTCTTTCGCAATGGTGTAATAGAGCGGTAAGTAATAGAGAAGGCTGAAGATAGCCACACCATGTACCAAGGCGCCACAGTGTGCGACAATGCCGTGAGCAGACGAGAACAGGGCACCGCGCATGATTGGCTGCCGAGGAACCCGCTTAGAATAGAGAGCGAAGCCGGCAAGGCCTGCGGCGCATAGGCTCATAGGAAGCAGCGTGTGGGGAGAGATCCAATCGAAGAGTATACCACCTAGGCAGTTATCAGTGCGGCTCCGACGGCATAGGATCGGTGGCCTACCCCACGTAAGAGGAACGAGAAATCCCGTCAGGGAGGCGAGCAGTAAGAGGGCACCGAGCCAGTCTATGCGCTTCAAGGCGTCTCTCGCGCGCAAGACACCCACCCTCTCTGTATTCCGCAAGAGAGACGGTGCGGACATAAAGGCGAGCATAGCGAACGGTACGTTGACCCAGAACGCCCACCGCCACGTCCGGTGTTGCGACAGCGCCGCGCCGACTACAGGTCCGCATGCGCTGCCGAGCGCCCTGACGGAGTTGACCCAGCCCAAAAGCGCCCCGCTCTCGCGCGAGGTGACGAGATCCAGCACGATGATGTTGGTCAAGGCCGTCAGGCCCCCGATGCCGAAGCCCTGGGCGGTGCGCGCTGCGATCAACAAGGCGAACGAGTCTGCCAGCAAAGCCATGCTGCTCCCTAGCGTGAACAGGGCGAGGGCGCAGAGCGTCATCCCAAGCCGGTCCATCTCGTCAGCCAGACGGATCCAAAAAGGTTGCGACACGGTGGAGGACAGCGACAAGGATGTGTTGGTCCAGAAGGCCTCCAGAGTAGAGCCCTGGATGTCCTGAGCGATTGCCTGTCTCGCGTCAGTCAACATAAGAATTGGGCCCACACTGGAATGACCCGGGGTACCGTGATCGCAGTCGATAGAACGGTGCCGTCAAAAGTACAAATGAAGTTCAGCAGGCAGAGGAGGGCGACTACGTAAGCGTTTGTTCTGTGGTGGGTGCGAGCATCGCCGGCCTGGCCAGCATGGTTGGGCGCGGCGCCATCTACGTTGTAGACAGACTCGCTACGGTCGGAGAGTATTGACGCCGCATCCATCGACGAGGGCACTTTTCCTAGCTCTCGCTCCATGGTCGCGAGATCAATCATGTTGAGATAACGTCGGTGGGCTATTCACGTATGAGCCAACGAGCCAGCTCTCTTCAACGCCCGTTAATATAATAGAGTCACCTCTACGCTATAGTCCGAGTACTACGGCTACTACGGCTTATAAAATAGAGGGCTTATGCATCTTTATTCTCTATGCTGACATGGTAAGCGATAAGTAACCGGTCTTGCGATACCGATCAGGCTGACTAGTACGTGCTCTTATCGGAACTGCCTATTAGCTATTAACTACGGGTTCTATACTTCCAAAACGGCGGCTAAGCCGAGATGGTATTTGTTATACCTCTATTATGCCATAGTTCTACCGCGAGCCTCTTATATCCGAGTAGTTTCTTATAATGTCATCAGGCGAAGGCGCAGAAGATCTATCATACCGCGCCGGATCGTCGGCAAAACAGCCGCCGCGTAATATATCAGCTACTCTACGAGCAAGGCGGCTAGCAATAGAACGAGGGGGAAGATGTTTTCGAGACAGAATGGGATGTTGTAGAGCCATATTGAGGGCCCAAAGCAGTAGTAGTCCGACTTAGCGTCTGGCAAATTTGACGAGTTCGACGGGACAAACGAGTCTGTGGGGCTTGGCGGTATTGACGTGCCATTTGCCTTACAGGCCAGTACACAGGACGCACGCTTCGGCCTCTTAGATCCACACGAGCCTGGGGTAAGAGAGCTACAGATGATCTTCTCTGACCCGGACGTGTCGTTACAATCGTTAAAGGAGGCGCTGTGGGACCATATCACGTGAGGTTTTAGAGCAGTGGGCATGACAGGTCCATACGAGCAGTTCAAGGCCAATAGAATGCTGTTACGAGAGTTCCCTTATATAAACTATTTATACGTAAGATATACCTAGTATAGTAGCGCGATGTCCCTTGTTGTTCATTATAAGCAAAGGCTATAAAGCTACTTGACTATGGGCGTTGTTACGTGAATAACTTCTATCGTATAGTCACAATAGGGGCATCGACGTAGGTAAAAGAGAACGGTTATCTATTGAAAGTAGGAAATGAGCACTAGGCTCGCTCTGAAGTAGAGAGTGTAAGCGAGTGTGGACCTCGGTGATTATGTAACCGAGGTCACGTGACGTACTGTGAGGTCACGGATGGTTGAAGCCATCACGACAATTTCTTTGAGCACTGTCGAAGTATATTTCATATAGTTGACTAAGGTAGGAGCTAATTATACTTACGCCCTCTTGTTTCAACTTGTGTGCTAAAAGCATACGAAGTACGACTAAAAGGTGGATTTTCAACTAGTATATATATCACGTAACTATATAACTAAGTGTCGGATTGGAAGTCCAATTCGACCTCGAGGCTGGGCAGCGCAGGGGGCAACTACGACCCCTGAGTAGATTCCGACTGTCCAGCCAACCTACGGTTGGGATCTCCCTTTTACATACCACGCAGAATCAGTCAATACAGAGAATTGACCCTTCGTCACCCCCGAATCCATTTGGTTCGAACCAGGTCACCTGTGATAGAGGTGATACCAACAGGCTATAACGCGATAGTTATGTCCCGTTAGTTGCCCTTATTATTCGCTGGGGAACTGACCGAAGATATCGACATAATGTTTATCATTCTCGATTGGGACGGTGATTATTAATGTAAGAATCAGCGGCCCCGCAAGTGCAATCAAGTCAATTTTGACCCCTATACTTGCTGTTGATGATATTTTTCTTGGTGTTTTTGACTAGTTGGCTAACTTGCAAGTTATTTAATTAATCGCTATATAAAAACACGTAATCTATAATTACCTAAGCGGGAGATATATAAAGCTATTTACGATAGGCCTAATAGTCTAAAGCTATTATTCTATAGTATAATCCCTCTTTTAAGCTAGTTTTTCGATAATTAGAGACTCTCTATAGTCTCTAGCTTTATACTTATCCGTTACGACGTAAAGGTTAACTTAATAATATTAAAAGCCCTTTTATAGTCGGCCGCTATTATTAAGATAATAAGGATATCGATCGTAAGCCGAGAAAGGGTCGGGAAGATATCCGAATAGTCTAATTATTACCGTAAAGGCTCGAAGGTCTCCCCTAGAAGTTAACGGAGGTAAAGATCGAGCTTATCCGTCCGGGGTAAGGTCTACCGGTACCGGCTATTAACCTACTACCGGAAGTAACTATCGTTATTATTTTAAGCCCTAGGGTTAACGGTAAGGCCTCCGCGTTATCCTCTATAGCCGGAGATACTCTTTTCCGGGCCGTTCTACTAATACCACTTATTATAATACTCTATAAGGGATTTCTAGGCCTTATCGACCTATCCTTCTTAATAGTTATTACCCTATATATCTCGTAAATATAAGATCCTATATAACGGATAGAGAATAATCGTACTAGAAAATAATAATAACTCCCCTAACTTACTATAATAATAAAAGAGCTTTTATTACGACTACTTAATACTACTACGGAAGAAGGATTACCACTTCTCGTTAAAAGAGTCGAATCGTAAGGTAGCTCGTAAGGCTAGAGATACCTAGTCTTTACGTATATGATCTAAAAGGGCCTAATAGTTATACTAACGACGACGGGGCCTTCCGGATCGGGTTTAAGATAGCTATAAGTCCTTAAAGGATCGTTAATTAAAGGAGAAATCATAGAGTTATAATAGGTCTTTTAGTTAACCAGATATAAAAAAGGTACTTTAAACCTATCGTAACCTCCTATAATCGATTATATTTATTCTTAAATCCCTAGCCTTTATACTTCTTTGTCTAGTAATAAAAAGGCTCTAGGATTATTTCTATCTCGATAAGAACCTTTTAGTTATCGAAAGATAATAGATACGTTTTCGGTATATATTATTTAACGTTATCGTCGTCGTTATTTAATAATATAAAAGCCTAGATTATATTTTTCTTTTTAATAGCTCTTTTAATTATAAAATATATACTATTTTAATAAATATTATTATTTAGGATAAACTAGACCTTATAGATGTTACGCCCGCCGCAACTTGTCACTGTGGGCGCGTAGCTATATAATGCAGAACAAGGGACAATGATGCCGGAGTCATCATTATCGAAGCTTTTGCTTTGTGGCGCAGTTGGTTGCCTTGACCTGCTCGTAACAATAGAACGACTTAGAAAAGATCCGGAAATCGGAGTCTCCGTCGATCTTGGCCGCGGCCTTCCGGTATTATTCGGTCCGTTATGGAGAGACCCGGACGTACTTAACGATATTCCGAAGCCGGCCGACGGGCCCGAGTCTCCGCCAAAGATCAAAATCATTGTTATAACGTTAAACAAGCCGGTAATACTCCGATTTAGCCTCGAGGATCTCCTTATTAGCGCCAAATAAAAAGGCCCGGACCGTAAGGTTAAATATATAGCCGTAGTACCTTATACGCCGGGCCTAGATATCCGTCTCCGTTATCTCGGGATATATATCCCGATAAAAGGCACGGAGGTAGGTATTGTTATTAGTTACGTTATCGGAAATAGTTACTCCGATCTGGTTCCGGATCTTATATCGACTAATAATATTAAGGAGGGTCTCCGAGAGGGTAATACCGCTATGGTCTCAATAATATTAAGAGAAGCCTAAAAGGCGTGACCGTAACGTACCGTTAGTATCGATAAAGTAATAGGTAACGCCTATAAAAGCGTAAATATTAGGTAACGACTATAGGTCGAATAATAGGTATATTTTCGATACCGCTAGGTAGAGCTCCGTCGTTACGAGACCTTCTTTATGCCGATAGTAGTCTTAAAAACGGTCCCGAATAGATATATAATCTTATAGGACCTTATTAGCGACCTCGTTATTATAATACCGTAAGATCTATTAAAGGAAGTTATTCTTAAAGTAGGTAAAAAGGAGGTCGGTAGAGATGATAGAGGTAATATAAAGATCCTTTAAAGTCATAATCTTAATCTTAGGAATATTATTATTATTAAGGCGTACCCTCTTATATAAAGGAGGGATTAATAGGTCTAATAAAGAGGGTTAAGTATCGGTATTAAGATCCTTATCTAAGAGGGTTAAGATCTTATAGATATAATAGGTACTTTAGCCTCGTTAAAGTAGACTTTATATAAATAAAAAACTTAAGATAATATACCGAACTAAGTACTTTTATATATAATAATAATAATAATAATACTAAATACCCTAGGGGACCCCTTTAAATTATATCGTTAGTAACTCTACAAAGAGGGCCTAGCCTAGCCCTAAATAACCTTAATAAGAAAGTCGCTATAATCTTAAATCTAGCTAGATCGACCCTGGTCTTTTAGCCGAGCTAATTATTATTTAAAAATATACCTTTTATTACTTACGATAATATAATATAGGTTATTAATCGTAGGATTTAAAAGAATACGGATAATAAGGGCTATCTCGATCTATATAGAGATCTATAGGTATAGGGCGCCTAGAACCGTATATATATTAGCAAAAAAAAAGAAAGTAATAATAATAATAGATATTGTAAAGCTTAATAAATAATAGGGGTAAATAATAAAGGTAATATATAATAATATAAATCTTTTCTAAATAACGTCCGATTACAATATTAAATATACTATTTAAATTACTATAATCTTATCTACTTATTATAAACTTTTTAAGAAGATCCGCCTTCGTCTAGTATAATAAAGGTAGTCTAAATAACCTCTATAATATATATAATAATAATAAGGTTAATAATAATAATATATTTTAATAGTTAGGTATACTTAAATAAATAGGGCAAGGGTGTTACGGCCAGCTAGTCGTAGGGGTATGTTCGCAGAAGTTGAGGCTGCGATACATTACACGTCTCTGTCGGATAGCTTCGAGGAAGCTATTGTCTGTCAATCGTGGATGGGTAAGGCTTCGGTGATCAATCGTAGTCTTGTCAAAGATGATAGCTGAAAGCGGAAGCAAATCCTGATACGAAGTTAACTACTGAAGAGCTATGGAAGTTTGTTCT